TCTATATAGCTTCTTTTATTCTCTCTCCTACATTTTGCAGAGATGTTTTCCTACTTTGAATGGGCATATTTGAGTGGAGTGTGGGTAAGTAAACCAATACCTTCAGCAAACACCAGTTTGTTAGAGTTACTGTTCTAGCAGACTGCTTGGTTTCAGAGTAAGCTCCAGCCCCACAAATACTGGCAATACCGAAACAGACTAGGATCATACAGCATGCTAAAGCCATGGAGGGGAGGCTTAGTGTGCCATCTTATTCCTTCCAGGCTTCAGAAGAAATGGCTTTTAATATACCCAAGGAGCCATGGCTTGTTTTAGGATTTAAAAAAAAAACCCTAAGTATCTTGACAGCAGCACCAGGAAGTGAGGCTAAGGGTGCAGGGGATCAGACAGCAACTTTGCCTTCCCTTTGCCAGCAGCACAATTGAGTGTGAGGGCTGGTGGAGGGATCACTTCCTCCAGCCACCTCCCAGGGAGACCAGGGAAAATTATCCACTTCCCCTCCACCAACCTTTGTCTCATTTTTTTTCCTCCTCGCTGGTCTCTAAGTTCATCCACAACACCTTCTTCTTCCCCTCTCAAGATGGCAGAGATCCCAATTTACACAGTCCGCACTCTGTGGTCTCTGAAGTACTCAATACTTTATGATCAGGTCACTATGAATTGCATTTAGTAAAAAAAGTCCTTCTAGGCAGGATATCATGTTTATTTTTGTGCATTATAAATACTGTAATCATTTATAATAGTCCATGGAAGTTAGCTTAATTTTTTTATTGAATTTAGTCTGGTTGAAATGTGATAGTAGCAGCCCATCCTCATGGAATACCATCATGGGATGTGCATGTGGCTCCCTTCCTGAGTTTTCAAATAGGCCTTAAAGACTTGACAGGTATCCTTTAAAACAAATGAATGCCCATTTGGATTTGACCTGGTTTTTACTGCTACTTTTATTTTAAATGTTTTATCTCGTTGCTTTAAGTTTATCTTGTAAACTACCTTGCAAAAGTCTTGCCTCAAAAGGTGGTATAAAATATCATACATAAATTCAAAGCTTCTGCATTAACATATTTGAAAACATTGTGAAGTATGGTAAGTTATTATACATTTCCATTACATTATGCAGGTTTTAAGAAACAAATTAAAGCCACACTGAAAACTGTTAATGTATCAGTTTCAGCATGCCTAAATAACTATACATATATATGTATTTTCCAGGGATAGTCACCTAAAAATGATAAATTAAAACTCTGATTTTAGATTTGACTAGTATTGTACATACCCATACTATGCTTATTCATTGTGTTACTAATTAATTTTATGATACAATGAATCATAAAAAGTGAAAAATTTCCAATGGAAGTAATATAGTTGTGAAAATCATTTCAGAATGTTTTCTTCCTCACATCACTGCGTCATTTATTTAGACAGCAAGAATTTGCATTACTATTACTACATAGCCTCCCTCTGCTTGGAAATTTACTGGCTTTCTTTTGTCTGATAATTAAAGGTACACATAACACATTAACAGAATTATTGAAACTGCCATAAACAGTTTTTATCTTCTTATAATATAAAGACACATTTTTCACAACTAGAATATGCATCTTTCCTCTTCCTCATGTATGCATAAGGAAAACACATACATGTTTGAATATACCAGATTCCCCATATACTTCAGGCACAACTTTTGGAAAAATACATTCAGTATTAAAGTTCACCAGCAGCAATTTTTTCAAATATATTCACCTTCTTATACAACTATAAAACTCATTTTTATCATTTGGTAGGAAACATTACTCAAAACAATTCAGATTTCCACTCAGATTTTTTTTCTTAATGACAGAGTAGAGAAGCAACCATGTCCAGAGGCATAGTTACTTCTGACGAAGGTGATTAGATTATCCTTCTCATTTCTAAGTTGCCCCTGGATCACAAAGCTTAGAAATTAACTTGGATAGTTTATTTCACTCTCACATGAAATCCCCACAAACAGAAGAGATGTTAACCATCTGATTGCTCTTATTTGTGTCATCCATATTGCCCCCCTGCTATCAATTCAGGAGAAGGGTATGACAGCTTTTACCACAAAGAATTAGAAGAAACCCTGGCTAGATAGGGTGTTTTTTTGTGGTTCCTGATCATGCTGACTATATGCCAAATTTTTTTTTGGAATACCTCACTGTTAAGGATAGGCTGAACATGCAGTTGGGTAGGCATGTCATAAGCGGAGCCGGGGGTCAGAGTAGATGGCCTGGGAAGCCCCTTCTGACTGGCTCTGTTTCCACGGTTCTATGTTTACCCTTTGCTTGCTTGTGCTTCTTCCAGTACCTCCATCCTACAGGCATCCTAGTGTTCAAAAATTTCCCCCCTTCCCAACTTCAGGATAAGAAGCAACAGCATCAGTGGACTATATCACTTGCATGTTCTGGAGGTAGGCACAATCACCAAAACATGGATCAGTTGTTCCCCTTATTTTTAAACACCTTGTTATGCATTCACCACACAATGAAGAGAAGTTCATTCTGTTCAAGCACGACAAGCCTGTAACACCCCTAACACACACTTACATTCGCTACTTTGAAATCAAAACTCCTAGATGTCGCTCACTCTGGAATCAATATATACACTTTATGACTTCATCTAGGACCCAAATACCAATGAGATTAATAAACAATTGGAATTAATACATACACAGAAGATGTGTGCCTTGGGCCTCTTTTCAAGAGGCAGGCTACCTATACTCATTGACACACAACTTCGTGAACTCTACATGCAACCTATACAACAGCACACCAACATTTAATCTATTTACAAACCTGAAGCTTTTGTGCTTTTCCTAGAACACAGAGAAACTATTCTTCTCGTTTCTATCAAAACATATATCCCACACAATGTTATTCTGTGCACATGTCATCTCTTTTTCTTCTTCTTCCCTAAACTGGGATGAACAGCTCCTACCAGATATTATACCCTTTCAACAGGAACTGTCAAGACACAGAGCCAATTCCATCAGTGAGTGGAGATACTTCATTGGTTACTGCATATCAGAAATGGGCAGATCTCAAGCTTTTGGGATCTAGTCGGTTTTTTTTTTTTTTAAATCAGAATCCTGAGTTCCACAAAGTAGGGGATGGTTTTAAAAATATTCACTTAGAATTAGTGAACTCTGAGCCCAAGAATTTGTTCTGAGTATCAGAACTGAGACGAGCTCACAGTACTTCCACACAAAAATTCACTCCTGGTTACCCCAAACTTTTTTTCATTTTATCAGTATGGAGGGGGATTTTTAATTTTGATTTAAAGAGAGTCAGAAACTCTTACTGATCTACTTCAAATCACCCAGAGACCTTCCATTTGCCCTCTCTTGCTCTAAACAGGTAGTAGTACCCAAAGCTCAGCCACAGCAGCAGCATTAAGATCAGGCCCACAAGACTCACACCGATAACCTAAGTATTTCCCCCTTTTTCAATGCATCACCCTTTTCCATTCACCTAATGTAATCTGCTAAGTCCTTCCCCCTCTTTCAAAAACAATTCAGGCATCAATGGGACATAGGTAACATGGGGAAAGTTTATCTCCCTTGTGTTTTATATTCAGAAGTCTCCACATTCCTATAATTTGTATTCCTCCCACCTCCAATCTAATCCCAACATGCTTCAGCAGCATCTCCTACAATGCCTTTTTCAATATTTCTACCACCATTCCAGTTACCTCCATAACTCAAGCCCTTCTGACTAGAACCTGTCCACACTGTTCATCTATCACCATCCTGTACACAATTCAGGAACAGTATTTTCAGATCAGGGTCACCCCTCCTCCATCTGCAATCTCCTCATACCATTCTGGTTAATTCCACCCCTTCATTTCTTCTCTCATTTTACCCTTTCCCTTCAAAATCTACACCCTGACCATAACTTAATAATGTAATATTTCTCCACTGGACGGAATTGTTCGGTGCAATCTAAGATATCCCCCATCCTGCGACTGCCACCAAACACACACTCATGATGCTCAGTCTCCTCTATTGGAAGTGACCCCTCACCTATCCAAAAACTGCCCCATCCTGGATCTTTCTCTCTCTCTTTCTCTCTCTCTGACATACACACACAGAGTCCTCAGTTCCTCATCATTTATGATCTATCCATCTCATTGCACCACCATCCTATTCCATTCCAGTTGAAAGTGCAGAGGGATAACATAACCCCCTCAACAACTTGATAACACTTCCTCGTATCTACTGCAGTCCTACTACGCGCGCACAAACATATAAAAGCCTCCTAATACGCTTCTCCTCTTCCGATTCACCTCCTCCCATCAAGAGAGAACCAAAACGAGATAACAAATCCCTGTCTCTACATAATCCTGCTACCTCGACCCACAACCAAAGCTAATTAATAATCATTTGCACACGCTCATACACACACACCACACGAGTCAAGTCTTTTCTCCATCAGCTACCTCAAAGGACTCACTATTCTAAAAGAATTGACATCTAGATACTGGTTTTGAGGGAAGGGAAGGGAAGGGAAGGGATCCCCTCCCATAATATGCTCCCGTATTCACCAGGGGAAAACAGACCCTCATACTTCCAGGTGTATGCGTGTGCCCCACTACAAAACAATTTCTTCTATCTACCCCCAACGATTTTGTAATTTAGAAAAACGTCTCCCTTCCCCCTCTCCCAACTCCTCCTCCTGGCAAGTTGTTTTCCTTAAGGGGGAGGGCAGAGAATTTCCTTCGACACTGTCTAGACATGCCCCATTTATAGTCCCCCCGCACAAAAACTCATTCAAGATCAAACGACAGCCCTTTCCCTTCAGATACTGGGGGCTGAGGTGGGGGGACAGAAGTCTCGTTCAGTTAAATCTAGCCCTCCCGTCTTTTGAAATTCATGGCGTCCACCCGCTCTCTCCACACACGCAACTCAATAAAGCATCTCCTTCTCCCCTCTCCATCCAAGCAAAACTTTAAGGAGGCGAAGTACAAACCGATGATTTGCTCACCTCAAACCGGCTCTTGGTGACCCCGTTCATTTCCCTCCTCATGGTGGAGGCCCGGCGGAGGGCGGCTAGGCTGAAACCAGGCCAAGCCAGGCCGAGCCGGGCCAGGCCGAAGCGGCCTGGCCCCCCACCTCCTTGGTGGTGCTGGCCGAGGCGGCGGCGGCGGCGGCTTCGGTCGGTCGCCTGCTTGGCCCGGCGTCTTCCCTTTCCACCGCGGGGGGGTACAGGGAGGAAGAGAGGTGAGGCACGAATGTGAGAACGGCGAGACGGTCTCCCTGTCCAGAATGCGATAAGCTGGAAAGGGGCTCTGTTTGTCGGTCAGCTGCAGCCCCCTCCCCGCACGCCAGACTCCGGAAGGGAGAAAAACGAGGAAAACCCGGCCTTCCTCAACTACAACTACTTCTTCAACCCAAAACAAAAACACTCCGCACCTGCCAGCAACAGCGCCGCTCATTGGACGACGGCCGCGCACACCGGAGGGGGGGCGAAAGAGCACAGGCGACGCGCGCCCCCGTAAGCACGGGCGCGCCTTCTTCGAGGACGAGGGAGAAGAGGCAAGAGGGTGCGGACGTGTTTTTTATTCTGGCCTTGGCAGCCGCAACCACAACCACAACCGCCTACCTTAATCCTAGGCAAGTTTCCGTGAAGGGCAGGGCAGAGGACTGTAGGCCGACTTTGTGCACATTTACTAGACAGTTCAGCCCCACTGAGTTCAATGGTGTTTGATGCAAACATACGGCACTTTACTCTGGTTTTGAAAAGCACACCACACTTTCCAGTAAAACTCCGCAGTGATGACGTGCAGCCAAGTGGACATAGGAATGTAGTTTTAAGTTTTCTCTTAGGGCACCATTAAACAAAGCTATTAATTCACCTAGAGCTGTTAGTTAACATACTGATGGATTTTAACCCTTCAACCATTGCTAAATTATTAAACAAAGATGTTTAAATTTCCCCTACCCTTATCCTGCCTTAGATATGAATCCCAGGGGTTTCCCTACCAGCAGGTTTACAAGGCCAGGTCCAATTACCTCCAACAGGCTCATCTCATACCATGTTTTCACACTATTCTTTAAGCTGGAAGATAACAAGCTTTCAAATTACACAGGATTATTCTTTAGATGTGACTGTTTTGTTTTATATACACAAATTATTTCAGTTTGTGTATATAAAGTTAAGTGTCTGCTTTACATCCCTGAACTCCAACTCTAGTCTACAACTAACCTGTTGACAGCTGTGAGCTACCATAGTGGCTAAGAGGGCTACATTCACTAGGATGGTTGTAGGAAAAGCACTATATATCAACAGAGCGTCCCCATCTGCCATACTCACCTTTCAAGGATTATCATATAGATTACTGATGTGGATGAACTGTACTAAATGCTTCAAGTGCACTGTATAAATGCCAAGTATTCTTATTGTTGTAAATTATTAAACAAAGCAATTTTGTTACTCTGCTACTAACTACTCAAAGCAAGGAATGTTTACAGTTTTTGCAGCAAAAAAGTTAATGCTTAAGTTTAATTAAGTTGGTATAAGAAATAGATTTTTTATACAAACATTTTCTCATCATCTTTGACTAATAGAAGCAAATTTTAACGTTGGCTTACAGCTCTAACTACTATCTGCTTTCAAAATAGCAGCACTTGGTGTAATATGGTGAAGTAACAAAATCCTCCAAATATGTAAGACAGTAATTTCAGTACTATTTCAACCACCAAATTTGCAGTTGAGAAATTAGGGCTTCTAAGCAAGTGGATAGATCTAGTTTTAGAAATAAAGCCCTAAATACTAAGCAAGTCAGTTGCCTTAATTTGAGGAAGAGAAACATTTCTCTCTTCCTGTAATTCCAACATGATCTCATATTCTCCATCCTATTCATTAAAGGACAACTAAGGCTGCAATTCTATATCCATTTCCCTGACAGCACGCTTCAGCACAGTTTATTTCTGAATAAATAGCTGCAGGGTTGTACCACAAGTTTTGCAGACATCTTGTGTTGAAGGGACAAAAGAGAGAGCGAGAGAGCGAGATCAGCCAAAACACCTTGGAATAGTGCGACAGCTTTTTAAGTTGTAAGAAAGCAGGTCTCAATGAAATTCTCATGACAGAGAAGTTCAAGTGACGATTCTGTCTGCATCGCCATAAAATCTATGGGCTCCAGAATGCCACTGTTTCATATTTCCATAGCGTGTAACAAACACGTAACCAAAAAAGAGGCGGAGAGAAAAGAGAGGCGGGCACAGCGAGCCATTCCACAAACTTAAAGCAGCGCTAACAAGGAACGGAGAACCATCCTATGGCCACGGTTTCAATCACACCAGGACCCCGAACGAACTCTACTCCTCTTCCCACCCTTTCCGGTAAAGGGACAACTGGAATCCCCCCTAGAATGCAAGCTTTTTCTTGTATGCTCGGATTTCCTATTCAGTTTCCGCTTGGAAAATCCTACGCCCAATCAACTTCCAACTCTCCGGAAGTACGGCTTGCGATGATGTTTAGGGCGGGGAATTTAAGCGTCAAGGGTATTTAAATTAAAGGAGCCCTACAAACCACGACTTCCTTTAAAAAGCCTTTACAAAGCCGTTGTGTGGTGGAAGGGTTTTTTTTGCCCCTTCAATTTTCTTTTCAAGATTTCTGTAATGCACAATGCCATGAACATATTTTTACTTCAACCTTATCTAGTCCACATGTTTTTTCTCTATGAGGACTTAAGTTGGTGTCATTTTCATCGCAAATCAAAGGCAGTATTTATCGCTTAGGTTTCTCTTTTGGAAAACACTTCTCTAGTACTCAAAATTGTAAGGTATTTACGGGGGAAAGGAACAAATGAAGCATGCGTCCTACAAGCAGTACCATTTAACTAAGGCATATAGATTTCATTAAGGACTTTATATTTCTAATACTAAATACTTCATGGCACCTTTTGTTTTTTCAAAGGTTTATCTCTACCTATTTATATAATCCAACATATCTTGGGGCTTCTAGGACTTAGAATATCGTGTCTTAACATATATTAGATCTTTTCTCACTCATCTCTCCACAGATTATCCGTAATTTCTCTGTTTTTGCTACATTCTGATTTTGTATGATTCACTTAACCCTGCATCTTCATTTTCCGGAAATAAAGTAGAACATTTCTTTGACTGTAGTAGGGGCACATACATATTTTTACCAAGGTCATTGTAAACATCTCTCTTTGAAGATGGATGACATCACCAGTGGTCAATATAAAATTTGACTTATTACAAATACAGAATCTGAGAACTCTAACACAAATGTAAACTTTTTTTTCATAAAGATTCATGAACAGTATCTGCATTAATATGGTTAACTAAGGAACTGGTGTAATTACCCATGGGAAATGATTGAAACAGCCCCCCTCAGTTATTCCTTTCAAAAGTTCACAGCGATTTGGCAAATGCAGGTGAATGGGTATGGGGCTAGATTTCACCTTCCAATTCGAGCATTGTGGGGAACCCAAGCATTGCCAAGGAAAATTCCGGGTTACGTATTCCGTTTAGGACTTCTCATGGATGTCAGGTCTCACTATTGCTCCAAATGAAGAGACTAAATCATAGAACTTACCCAATATTTCTCAGCAGTTGCATGTTGTAAGTTAACACAGAACTGGGCAAGTTGTCTTCCAAAGAACCCTATTACCCACTATTGCCTCCATGATACCCAGAAGTTTCGTATCAGTGATGGAAAAAGAGTATGAACTGTATTTGCATCATACTGTACTCGGGATTCTATTTCTTTTAACCACAAATAAGAGATTTCAAGAACACTGACGAAAAATGTAGCACTGAGAAAATCATGTAGCAGCTAAAGCAAAGACATGTAGTGATTAGGACACATCACATCTGCAGTAAGCCCTGGATTTTCACACAGGCACCCCCACAAATGGGGAAACTAGGAGTGTAATAAAAATTGAGCATACTACATTGATTGAAGTTGCAGATCAATAAACCTCCTGGAAATGCGACTGTGTAATTTTGTTATTAGTCAGCATCTACCAAAGTTAATACTAAATGAATATTCAACAGTTGTAGTGATAGGGTCAAACTTTCGGCCTTGTAATAGTTTTGAAATAAATATTTCAAAGGAGGATTCTCTTTCCTTCCTACAGAACTTTCTTCAGGCAGAAAATGGTTTAAGTGCAGTAACCGAGAAGAAGCAAAATTTTTTTACCAAACAGATTTATTGGCATGTAAAACCAACATGTGATTTGAAATACTTTCAAAAAATGCTAAGAACACATTACATTCCTCTGCTCACTCCACTGGTCACCAGAAGCAGCATTTCCACAGTTGTTCACAAAATAAGATTAAAGGACATACTATTTACATTAAGAGGAAAAAGCCAATCCTTTAATTATGAACAGCTCCAGCCAAAATTAAAAGGTTTGGTTGTTTCCCATTTCCCATTGTTTACTTTGTCTTTACAATACTGAAAGATGTAAAATATTGTGAACAATTAAATGCACTTTTAGAAATACACATGAGATCGTTTAACACAGAAGGGGATGGTGCGATACTGACATTTGTGTCCCAATTCTAACTGGTGAAACTTATTTTAATCGCTACCTTGCATCATTCCTGAGGGGATGGGGGACACCACTGCTCAGGGGAAATAATATTCATATTAAAAACAGTTTCTAAAACTTTACAACAGTCTGTTTAAATGACAGTTTTCAAAGTCATTTTTTCATTTCTTGGTATGACGGCAAGCTTTGGACCTGCATCAAACTCATTTGGCTCAATTCAAACTATATAAAAATTATCCAATAGGATACAATGTGTCCCATTCCCTCTTCCCCACCTTCCTCTGGGCACTCAATTACCTATAGGGAAGGAAGGGCATTTAATTCCTTCTAATTGTCTACCACAGAATTCCTTTGTACTGGGGTAGAACTGTTATGATCATTAGGGAACTCCTTCACAACTGGGTGCTGCTCATGTGCACTGTATTAAGTCTTTTTTAAGCCTGAAAAAGTGTTTTGCTTAACTCAGAAACCTGCTACTCAATCAAGTTGTCCATTTGTAAAGTATAACAGAAATAATTTTGCATGTTTGACTTTGGACCCCAAACCATTCAAAGGTCTAGTAGGATCATGGTGCAAGACCCAATATAATCCCTCATTTACTCTTTTAGAATATAAAATATAGAGTATCAGAGTGTAAGACCAACTGTATCCATGCTGTTCATAATCCTGCCAATACTTTCAACAATTCCATGCAAGTTGCAAAGGATAGCAACATTGATAAAAACTGTTTCATTATGAAAACACCATTCAGATGCTGCTAGGATACATCAAGGTTACGTAAGGCCTTGAACAGCCTTCCATTTTGAGAATTGCACACTGTTGTTTAGAACCCACATTCCCCAAACAAATACTATGGTAATTAAACAGATGACAAGCTGCTGAGGACTGGACCAATACAGAATTACATTCTATGATGTGGTTCCACTGTAAGGGGAGTCACAATTTAAAAAATACCTTGGTGTTTTATAGGCCCTGTGCACATTCCACAATCAGTCTCCTGCAATAAGAAAGACATGTCACTTGTTCTGAATTTATTTTTCATACCCTGGAAACATTTGAAGTGGGAATGTGAATCAGAGAAAGCCTGGACAGTTTTCTATGTTTCACCTCTCTTATATCTTCATTACTAAAGAGAATCCATGGTTGGACAAACCCAACATATACTAGCCTGTAAGGGTACTAACAATTAGGGATGCATGGTTAGCTACCAGATAGACTTAAAGCCAATGCTGTGCTTGTGGGTGACTGTATACTGTCTATGTCCAATCCAGACATTCTGATACACATACGAATCTCTATGTGATATGATGTCACCCTACTCTCTGGAATACTGGGTGATGTTTCATATAAAGATACATGAAAATGAGGCATCAGCTGTCAAACAGAGATCCATCTTTATACTGACTCAGGTCTATGATAAAGCAGAACAGGGTAAATGCTAAGGAGTAATTTTAATTCACTATGATAGCACTAGATACAGAAAGTATGTGGGTAAGTGAAAAGTTCTAGAATGTTTCCTTTAACCTGTAACAACATAGGAACTAGTGTGCACATTTTGCAAACAAAAACTTTAAAAAATGCATATACTCTAGGTTCTTCCTCAATTCAAGTGTAGCAGCTTCCCATATGATTCCAGTAATCTAGGAACCCTGAAGTCATGTGGGTAAATGAAGTAATCATCCCTCCTGGAAGCCAAACCAACATCATCCAAGAAAGCAGCTGCATTATGGGCTCCTCCTATGTGACTTTCAGAGCTTGTACATTTCTGGAGTGGTATGGAAAGAAGCTATCTTCTATCAAAGAGGGAATGGATGCTCACCCATAAGGCCAACATGCTGGACTGATTGAAGCAAAAGGGCCTAATTCCAACTTAAACTGCATTCTCTCCCAGGTAGGTTTTACCTAAATCCAAATTACAGGGGCTCAGAAATCCAAATTTTTACATGCAAGGGACACAAATCTTCCTCTCCTCTTCTCACCAAGATGAAGTCCTTTACTATCCAATTAAAACACAGAAGACATCCATGAAAGCCATCAGAGCTTTTGTGAGTATATTAAAAGAACTATTTTATAACATAAATATTAAGTCAAATGACTGTAAAGATATAACACATCTATACCAAAATACTATATCATCTGGATGAGGGACAAAAATGGCGTTATCTGTTGAACACACAGTTTCTCAGACTTTAGGAGATAGCAATCAGCACCTTAAGAAAGTGAAAGTTACCAGGCACTGATTTATTTCCATTAGCGATATTTTTAATGGAAATATTCTTCCTAACTATGAATAAAATCCAGCCAAGCTTTAATCTTAAATGCTAAAAATGTTAAAAAAATATGCACCAAAATGGAAAAGTTCCTAAAGACCACGGTGCAAGAGAAAAATCTGATTCTATTAAAACATGTAAAATGTTTAGCATATGCCTGAGTTTCAGTTCTATCTTACAAGAGAGTCTGGGGACAAATGGCAGGTCTACAACCTAGCAGTTTGGTACATCAATTCTTTGTGGTAAAGATTTGTATTAGATGGAAGCACCTATGTGTACTCATGTAAGCTTCCAAGAGCTTTAAAAATAAATTGCTTACTAAATTTCATCATGAGAGTTGTCCAAAATGAAAAGGTTTGGTTTTACTTGAACTCATTTTGGTGTTGTGAACATTCACAACTTTAAGAAAATTAAAAATGAAATATCTCTTGCGCCACAAATGTTCTCAATTTCTTATCAGGGCAACATCCATTAGATCATCATCTTCCCCCATCAGAAAATCAGGGCTGGGCCTGGCTGGCCTATCTGATGAAAGAATGGCACTGCTTGTCATAGACAGAGACTGTTCTGACGAGATGGGAGATTTAGACCAGCTTTCTGGCTTAATGCTGTGTGTTTTCTTTTTGTCCCTCTCTTTGTCACGATCCCTGTCCCGGTCTTTATCTTTCACTTTCTTCTTTTCCTTTTTGTGTTTCTTATGCTTTTCTGAGCTATATTCTGGAAGAGGCCTAATTCCATCATCGGAGCTAGGGCTGTTCTGATAGGATTTCTCTGCTATGGATGATCCTGATTCACTCTCACTGTCAATGTTTTGGGGGGTATATGCAGGAGACTTACTGTGGCTGGGAGAACAGCGCTCATGCTTTGGAGTGGATCCACTTATCAATGGTGAACCATAGCTTTTGGAAGACGTCATCTGAGGCCTTAAGCCATCCCCACCTCCTTCCCCAGGTTTTTGCAAGGTAACTTTGGCTTTAATGCTAGGAGAGCCACCGTCATGTTTGCTTATTATTATCTTAGCCACTCCAGTGCTTCCAACATTCTTTGAATCAGATGTCTTCTTGGAAGAGTCAGAGGAACCTCCTGAAACAGAAACTTTGGATTTCTCCTTATCAGTTCTTTCCCGTTTTCCCTGCAGTTCACCTCCAGACAAGTTATGTTTAGAAGACATGGAGTGACTCGAGGAACTGGAACTCTGAACCATCTGTCCGTCCATTGAGTCTTCTCCACCAGGACCACTGGTGACGACACCATGCTTGAGCTTGTCAATGACGGCAGTCAGAGATGGCTTTTTGTTGCGGCTTGGGGACTTGCCTTTGGAACTCCCGTGTTGATTTTGTGATGAAGACATGGAGGAGCTGCCTGAAGAAAAGGAAGATGAAGATCCCACTGAAGAATTTGAAGAAGTGGGTGGCTTCTGAGACATGGAACTGGAGGATCCCATCCCGGAAGAGGACTTCATGCTTGAGCTGGATCCTGTCCCAGACATGTGTGAGCCTCCAGAACCGGAACTAATAGGGGACTTTGCTTTAGACGACGGGGGAGTACCTGGAACGGGTTTCATCGGAGAGGCCAGCTTGTCAGAACCGCCCGAGGGTCTAGAATGAGAAGGAGAAATGTTTGGTTTACTCATGGAAGGGTTCATAAGCGATGAAGGCTTCCCTTGAGGTTTGATCTTGGTACCTCCAGAGCCGCTGCTGAGGCCGTGTTTTGTGATGGGGGAGGACCCAGGCTTGCCCACTGATTGGGTGGAGCTTTTGGACTGACCTGATCCAGAGCCGCCTTGGCCCGAGTAGAGGCTGCTGCTCATCTTGGAACCAGAAGACCCATCCGACTTGCTGCTCTTTATTTTGCTAGAGGTCGATGAGGAAGACGAAGAGGACGAGGATGATGATGACGATGATGAAGAAGAAGAGGAGGAATGACTGTGATGACCTTTGCTACTCAAAGAGGAGACTGAGCCGCTGCTTGTATACTGCCCATGAGAAGGTTTGCCAACAGTCACAGTTCCCTTGGGGATCTGGATGGTGATTTTGGGGATGGGAGGAGTAGCTACCCCTGGGGGTGTTTGAGACCTCCCTGAACTTCCAGGAGATTTTGAGCCACCTGTGCTTGCTGGTGGGGTGAAAGGCCTGGTGGATGAACTATGAGAGGGAGATTTGCCTTCTGGCTCCACCTTCCTTCTCTTCTGGACCTTTTCTTTACTCTTCCCATCACTGGATGGGGTGCGGCTGCGTTTTCCACCCTTGCCATCCAGCCCAGGACCTGTTAAAGAACTCCCGGATCCGTTACCCTCTTTGACCCGCTTCTGTGACTTCTCCTTCCCCATATCTCCTGTGCTCAGTAAAGGGCTCTGGCTTCCACTATGATGCTCCATAACATCAGAGGCTCCCAGAGCCTTGCTGGCAGCAGTGATAATACTAAAGTCAACTGTGTCCGCTTGGCTGCTTGCCTTGAACTTATTCTCCCCTCCATCTCCCCCCAGCACTTGCACGCCCAGAGTACTTATCGTTTGTGGTGTAAAGCCTTTGAAGTCATCCGCATCTCCACTTTGGCTGCTATCATCAAAATATTCTTCTCCAAAACCACTTTGACTCTGGCTGTTCAGGAGGTCAGGGTTGAAATCAACTCCATCGGGGAAAAACTGATTTGAAGAATCACTGTTTGGACTCACAGTGGCATCAGCAATCAGTTCAGCTGGATCTGTGTAAGGATTTTCACTGTTGTTTGACTGAAAGACATCAGGATCAAAGAGGGCGCTTTGGGAATGTCCTGAACTGGATGAGTCCCTTACTGGTGTTCCAATAGGAGGGCAATCTTCACTGGAGCTTGGCAGCTTGGACGCTTCCTCTGCTATGTCAGAAAGGATGTCTGTGACGTCAGGGCCAATGCTGTCTGAACTGGAGAGTCGGACCATCCTCTGAATACTGGGCTGGGCATGAGGTATAGACTGTGGATAGGTTGTAGGTGGAGTGCTGCATTGACTGGGAGCTGGAGTAATATGGGGAGTATCTAAAGTGTCAGCAGTCATATTGACATCAAAGATGGGATTCTGTGAATCAACGTCCATGGAGAACAGTTCTCTCTGGAAGTCATCTTCAGTTTGATGCTTGGGTTTGTCCACTAGGACACGTGATTTTTTCTTCTTTTGCTTGTTACCCCCTGGCCCCATTTCCATCCTTGGGGAGCCAGAAGATGAGTTCTGCCTTTCAAGTGGGCTGCTCCCATACAGAGTTGAGAAATCTTGAGCTGGATTATCCTTCAACAGGTTCATGAGCATGGGGTGGTTCTTGGTGTTGCTTGCGGGAGATGACACAGGAGGAGGTGTATGGTGTGGAGGAGTAGGACTAGAGCCAATGGTGGTCCCCACATTGCCTGTGATTTGTAGCAAGCTTGTAAGAATGGGGTTCTGAGACACTTTGCTGAAGTCCTCCCCATGGCCCACTGAATCATGCCGTTCTTTTAGGCCCATGCTCATAGTGAACAAGGTGGAAATGGGCCCCCCAGGAAAAGTGCTCGTTGGGGTGGTAGTGCCACTCATTGGGTTGTTGCCAGTGGTCATGCCATAACCTGGGCTGCTAGCGGGTGGGAGGTTCTTCTTTACCATGTCCTCAACTGTCTCAGCGATGAGGGACAAGGCCGGTGTGTCTGCTTGGATTGTCTCAGCCTTTCTCCGAATGGCTCTCATGGTCACAGGAATTGACATGCATCTATAAGACAATGTGCAGGAAAAGTTCATTTAGTGTCATCCTCACTGCCAGTAATTTTCCATAATTATGTTCAAAGTTCTGCTTATTATGAACAAATATAAACAGTGCTGATATCTATAAGTTTAGTCTATTTCTGTATCCCTCAACAGATTCTATGTAAATATGCTCTTGTGTTTCCTTCTAGAGAGAAGGATACAGGCATACTACTCTAGTAAAATTCCCCTGGTCTTTTTTTTTTCATGAGAATGTAATTCCTCAAGTTATAGAGTGAAAAAGTCTAGGATACATAGATGTAGGTGCTACTTGCCTTTTTAATATGACAATATGTATCCTCTAACAATGAAAAACAAATTCTAAACTCAGAATAGTTTCAAGCCATCTAGATACATTTGCATAAGCTATTCCTTTCACCTCTTTCTCCAGGCACAAAGAACAGAAAGCCTTTTTCAAGGCTACTATACAGACTGCATACTATTCTAGGGGATTGATTTCACCCTAGGTAAAGGTATGTATATACACCATTGCTGAAGAACATGTACACTTTAATGCATGGACAGGTATTGAGTGGTCATAACAAAATACAGTGAAATATAAATTGAAGCCATTATTCACCTAATATGGAGTACACACATTCTCTTTATGGAAGTGATCTGCAGAGCAGGCTTCTCCAACCTGGTGCCCTCCAGATATTTTGGACTAGAACTCCTGACCATTGGTCATGCTGACTTGGGCCAATAGGAGTTCATGTCTAAAACATCAGGAAGGTGTTAGGTTGGGGAAAGCTGTTAAAGAGGAAAAATCATGAATGAGTTGCCTTTGCATTGCTGGCTCGAATTCCCACTGTGTAAGGAAAGAAAGTTGTTTTTTTCTTTTCTTTTTATCTGTTTAAACAGCCCACAAAGGAAGAGGCTGAGCCTCTCTCTCCTTTGCTGAACAACAGCAAGCTGAGGAACAATGAATCATTTCCAAACATGCTGCCCTCAGACCTAATTCTTAGCCACAAGAAGCCTTTAAGAACAAGGCATACCTTCTAAGCAAGAACCGATAGGCAACCAGTATGTAGTTTCTCAAAGTGTGGCAACCTAACCCACTTTTAGAAGGACTGTTACTGGGAATAAGAAATGGGGAGAAAAACACAAATGGATGAACTTTCTGCAATACCACAAGTCTTGATTAGAATTATTGTTTTGGAAAGGTAACTGGAATTTAAAGATTTATTTCCGATTTCCATCCTGCCTTTTTCCTACAAAGGGCTCAAGGCAGCTTACATCTCCTCCTTCATCTTATCCCCACGACAACAACCCTGTGGGGTAGGTTGGGCTGAGAGTCTGTGACTGGCCCAAAGTCACCTAGTTGGCTCCATGGCCGAGCGGGGACTAGAACCCAGATCATCTGAGTCCCAGTCCCATGCTCTTAACCACTACAGCACACTGGATGGAAAGCAGAAACAGAGTTGATGCTGTCTGGAAGGAAAGATTCTACTGCAGTATGGAGTGATTAAGCCAAATTAAGGTTTCCACTGTTCCACAAAGACAGAGTAGAACTTCTAGGAGACACAGGTCCCTGTTACTAAGAAGAAGCGCTCTTTGTAGATCTTTACTGCTTTACTGTTCCTGCCAAGAAACATGGCATGAAAGTGGAAAAGGATAGGCTCATATGGTCATATATGGTAGGAGAAGCTAATCAGACTTTCCCCTGACCTTTTCCTCAGTACAACTTTCACTGAAGCACACTGCTCAATGATCAGGTTTATATTTAACCAGTCTCCAAAGATCAGTTTTTGTTCTGGCTTAAGAAGCACGACCTACCTTTGAACAACTTTAGCAATGAAATCATCTGTGCAGATGAGTGCATCAGAGAGCCCTTTATACAATTTGCAATTCACATGGGTAGAATCTTGCACATCCATTACCACTGAAAGACACAGAGGGTTTATTGGGAAGGTGATAAATTGAAAAATAAGGCCATTTTCATCACACACTTGTTTATGCACACATATTTCTGAAAACCCTTCTTGCAACTCACCACAAACTAAGGAGTCATTTACAGGATGCTGGAAGGACACACTGAAACAGGAGTCAGATAGGGGACAGACTTCAAATTGAAGGATTCCAGGAGAATCTGAAAAGACAAAAGAACTTGCTAATATAGAAGAGATATGCTTGCTATGGAAATCCATGCATCCAGAAATAATGTTCCTTCTGGACTGAAGGAAAAAAGTAATTCACACCTCAGGGGAATATATGAGAGACACAGAGAGAGACAGAGACATTCACAACATTCTTTGCAACTAAAATAGGATATCTGGAACATCTGGGATTAAAAGACAAAGCAGTTGGTTAGGGAATAGTTGGTATATTTCTGGGCTGTTGCTTACACAACCATAGGAATATTTATATTGCACTTTGAAAAAACTGGCCTTAATCAAAGCCAATTTGTAAACCGCCCCCCCCCCCCAACTGAATAGGAATCAGAGACTAGTGGATTTGGTTGCTTTAATGAATAGCCTACTTGAGTTGAGCTAGATAGAAATGCTGAAGAGCAAAACAGCAAACGCTAGGGCAGGGGTCGGCGACCCGCAGCTCCGGAGCCGCATGTGGCTCTTGAGCCCCTCTGCTGTGGCTCCGTCGCTCAAAACACATGCCGGCAGAGCCACTGATCTGCTCGAAGCTCCACTCAGGAACACAGAGCTAACTAGTTAAGTGAATCAGCTAGTTAAGTATATCGCTACATTCCTCTGCTAAACAAGCTTCCTGCAGGCTCTCATGTTACATGAAAGCTGCTGAATGAATTCTCTTTGTCCCAATGTAATAATCCGAAGAAAAGTTTCTGAAGAAAACTGAATGTTTAATGATACTGGGTAGATTCATTTGCTTTTACTGCTGACGAACTTATGGGGTTTGCTGTTTAATACATGCAGCCCTTTAGCACTGACTTTGACTCTTCAGGAAGCTGTTCTCCTATTCAAAATATATGAAAGGAGTCCTCCTACTAGTTTATAACGTAAGATTAAAAATAACAGTGTTTAGTGACTGAACAAGAGGTGCAGCTAAATCATAATGAAGATATACATAGCATTAAGGTAAAAAATGATATATGCAGTGTTATCTTCATTTTAGATGTCAAAAGGGTTTTGTGGTTCCCGGTGTTTTCTTTTGTATGTGAAATGTGTTCAAATGGCTCTTTGAGTGTTAAAGGTTGCCAACCCCTGCACTAGGGATACACTTCTAAGAACTATTTCATTGATTTCAATGGGACTGACTTCTCTTTGCAAGTTTTCTGGAAATGTTCTTTTCTTTGAGATTTTCAAATATGTCACAAGAACATGACCCTGCCTCCTCCCTAATCCAATGATCTTCCTGCCCTGCAGCATGGGACAAACTTGCACTCAGTTACCTGATTTATCTTGGTTGTCTTAATGACATGTATGTGTGTGTGCACAAACATTTTTTTTTCCTTTCACGCTTGTGAGGAACCAACATGAGATCAGAAATCTCTACCCAAGTTTGGTAATCTGGATTCCATCAGTTTTTGTTTTGTTTGCCTCTACTTGTCTGATCCAGCTCCCCTTGGACAAAATACAAAGAAACAATCTGCTCATGAAGACAAGGGTCCCCAGCCAGGACTTTGTTTGATCACAGCACCAGAACAGTTCCTGCTATTGAAAAGACCGACTTCATTTAAGTCAAATCTTTTCATACACTGAGAGGGGAATTGTCTGCAGGAACCCTGCAGTGTGGTTTAACCAAATCCCTGAACTTGATTTTACAGTCAATTAGAACAATAATATTCAGTCACGCACAAAATCAATCTGTAGTTCAGCAGCTAGTGTTGACTTCAGAAGTGGAAAACCCAAGTTCAAAATCATTAACTCAATTGACTTGGGCAAATTGTTCTATCTCAGTTAAGCCTACTACACAGTGTTGCTGCAAGGATAAAATGATAAACATCCATGTATGCCACTTAAGACTCCATGGAGGAAAAATGAGATAGAAATAATAAATGTGCATGCTTGACTGAAACATGGGTTTCTTTTATCATTCATTCATTCAACATATATTCCACATCACTTAGTCCAAGGACTCTTGAAGAGGATTACAAAGAAGTAACTAAGAATAATACACAATAAAAACATATATAGTAAGAATATACAACAACAATCTGTAATAAAATATGAATACAGCTGAGGAATCAGGTATGACTAGGTTAAAAAAGTATGTTTAAACAAAAGAACAATATACAACTATATACATTAAAACTGAGCAGTATAAAATCAATTATTAAAATGTCTGGAGAATAATTTTTGCCAGACACCAGAGAGATTATAATGAAGGTGCCATGCAAACTGCTCTTGGAAGGCCCTTCCACAGAAGGGGCATATCCACTGAGAAGGCCCCTCTTCAGAGGAGAGGAACTCGGAGAAGTTCACCTGGCACTGAGTTTATACTCTTTTTGGCGCCAGGTCAAAACCTTTTTATTTGTTATTTCAAAAACTAATATTTTAATGTTCAACAGTCGTTTTTTATTTAATGTAGTTAACTTATATTTCCTGGTTATTTGTTATTTATTATATTGATATGGTTGTTTTATTGAGTTTTTGTTTTAATGATTGTAAGCCGTCCTGAGATGCCATGCATAAGGGACGGCATATAAAAAGTTTTAAATAAATGAATAAATAAAATATGGGACTGGGCTGTATATGTTACAACAAGCACCTTAAATTGGACCCATAGCTCAACTGATAGCCAGTGCAAGTGACATAATATCAGGGTAATAAGGGAGCATGGACTTGCTCACACCAGCAGTCACACTACAAGGGTGGCCCCACATAGAATGCATTACAATAGTTGAGTTGATTGGTTACAACTGCATGTGTGACTGTGGCTAGGCTCTGCCTGTCCAGATAGGGTCACAGGTGGTAAATTAATTGTAGCTGAAAGAAGGCACTCCTAGTCATGGATCCTACCTGAGACTCAAGTGATAGTTTTGGGTCCAGGAATGCCCCCAAGCATCAGACATCGTCCTTCAGGGGGAGTGCCACTCCATCCAGGACAGGTTGAAAGCCCACCCTCTGGGCAAACAGAACATCCACCCACAACACCTCCCTCTTATCTGGATTAAGCATCAATTTATTGGTCCTCATTCAGTCTATTATCAAGCTCAGGCAATGATTCAGGACAGAAACCATCTCACCTGGGTTGGATGAAAACAAAATGTACAGCTGGGTGTACTGATGATGCCTCAGCCTGCACCTCTGAATGACATCTTCCAGAGGTTTAATGAAGCTATCACACAGTATGGGGGACAGTACTGAGCCCTGAGGACCCCTACTGCATAATAGCCATGGGGCAGAGCAACTGTCCCCCAGCACCACTTCCAGGGCATGGCAATGCAGGGCCCCCAACTCCAAGAAGGACACCCTGGTTGATGGTGTCGAAAGCTGCTGGCAGGAGAATCAACAGGGTCATAGTACCCCTGCCCCTTACCTGGCAAAGATCACCTCACAGGACTACCAAAGCAGTCTCCACCACAAACCCCAACCTAAAGCCTGACTAAAATGGATCAAGGGCTGATTTTATATGCTTTTATCTGATCTAGCACTTTTTTCTTAATTGGTCAACACATGTCACATCTACTAACTCAGATTTCCACGTTTCTCTAGAGTCAAACAATTTTACCATCCCTGTTCTACATGGATGGGTCTGAGAGAATACTGATTTGCTTAAGGCAAAAAGTGAATTAATGCTTAGAATTGCATTTAAACTGAGAACTTCCTGATTCATGGCATACACTTTTACTAGCTGTACTATAAAAACTATCCAGCATTTGATTGTGTGATACTGACCTAATTTTTCCAAGTTTATTTATGCTCGTAAAAGAAACTGCTTTGGTTTTCTCTAGAAGGGAACACAGTCTATTGATTTTTAATAAAATAAATATTACTTCTCTGGGTTGTGGACTTTGCCTTAGGGTTTGCCATCTTTTCCTTTATGTTTGCTTGTTTGGCTTCCTGAATACCAGTATGGGATCCTGGTAATTGGACATTTACAGGATATTTGAAATATGTTTGCTTATACTACCGTACACTTTGACAAAGTCAATAAAGATGCAGGCTGCAAGCCTTACCTATCTTACTGGATAACCATGCTAATTTCAGTAGGATTTATCTGGAATTAGCTTGAGGATTACAAATGAAGGCTCAACTGTATGCCTAGAATGGACAGTGTTACAAATTTACATGAGAGAATTCTTATTGCAGAGCTCCTCAAACTGTTATAATGAACCACCCCAAGTAAATACATCTGAGTCACTCTGCATTCAGCTAAGACAAAGCAAGCACTGGACCACATCCAGATTACAAAACCTTTGACTATAATGGCTTCTTCATGAGTAATAAAGCTAGTGTTTGGATCTGTATAGGTTTCATCAGGTAGATATGGAATGGCATATATCCATTAAAAGTTATTTTTGTAGTAGCATAACAGTTATTTCAAGAATTTGCTAATTTTCAGAAAGACAGGTGCACTAAGTGCAGCATGTTTGTAACTTTACTTTTGTAATCTCAGAAGAGTAACAAATATTTGAAGAAAGTATTCTGCCTGAATAATATATAAAAATAGATAGCTTTTTAAACTAATGACTATTTGGCCACATTAGACAGATCTGCAAATTAAAACCATTATCTACTTTTTGTCTTTTATGCTTTGTGATGATCATGTCAATAAATTGTTTGTAATGTCAAACTACAACACAGACCATTAGGACAAATATCTTCCAAAAACACTTCAGGAAATCTTCAGTGAACAGCACTCACCTTCTTTTAAGACTGTTCGCTTGACACAACTGCCTATCAGTGTATTGTAGGCTACCTGGTGCCGGATTATATTGAGGATGAGAGGTACTCGACTAGGGTGGTGAAAAGCAATTTTGCTAAGTAGAGCTCCTTGAAGGCTTCGTCCATCTGGCAAGGGGGCATCTTTGTTGAGGAAATAGCAGTGCTGCTGTCCTGGCAAAGCCTGACATGAAAAAAAACACACACAATCTTTATTACTAGTACAGCATGGATTATTACTACAAAAGAATGTGTAACAAGGAGATGCAAACTGCACCACTACTTAAAATATTCTGTATGCATTTGTCCATTGAAGGATGTGGGGCCCAGTAGTATGCTTTATGTTGCTTTGCAGATGCTTTGCATTATATTCTCCCCAGTTCCGGCAACTGGAGATGACAAGAGTTGTAGTCCAAAATATTTGCAAGACACTAGGCTAGAGAAAGTCTGCCTTAAGCTAAACTGCTCTGTTTGAAGCTCTGTTATATTACCTACTTAGTATAATGGCTAATTTCTTATACTGAGATTAAAAGAGAAAACTTTTTGCCATCTCATTTTTATTGGCACTTCTTTAAAAAATAGCTACTGTGGCATCTTAACCTGCCTCCTGAAAAGAGATACTAAGAAATATTAGTACATAAAGCCTCAAATCAAAAGTGTTCAAAAATAATATTTTGCTGTTCTGACCTATAGTTTTTTTTGCCAAGGGATCACCTCTTTCCATTGAAACCAAGGCCTTATCCAACCCTCATCTGGCAATGAAGAGAAATGGGATCATTACCCTCTGTGACAGAAAACTTTGAGTGTATAGTGCCTATTAGTTTGGAAGGGAAAATGAACCACCCTGACAGAGGGCAGCAGCTTCTGCATATTTACAGACTTTCTAACTAGCCAGAAGTAGACAAGTTTACAAACTGAAACCAAGATACATTTAAAAGAAGTGCAAATATGACCTCAAAGGGACTTGTGGAAATTCTATACTAAATGAGGTCAGTTGACAGGAGAAAGGAAACAGATTGAGGAGGATGGAACAGCAAGAAAGAAGAAGGGTTTGACGTATTCAAACCACTGCAACTTATTGTACATGTTCAGGGAGAAAAAAAAGATGTATGCCTTGAAATAAAAAAATATATATTTTTATATTAGTCAGGACAAAGGAAAGAAAAAAAATACACCTATTACCTTTTCTACCCTCCAAATAACTTTCCTTAAAAATGATAAGGTTCAGGGTTGGATGCAAACTTCAAACCTGAACTCTGTCACTATTTAACACAGCACAGAATAAGAAGTTGATTGGTATCAAAGAAGATGTCCTTTCCCTTTTTGATCCTCCTGTAACTCTTCTAGTCTGAGCAGTACTAAAAGGCTCCTATTCCAGTGTGGCTGAAGAGCACTCCTTTAAGCAGAGTTATTCCAAAATAAGGTAATGATTTCAACTTACTTGGAAGACATCCTAAGTACAAATTAAAATAAAAAGAATGGGCAGCTTTCAGTCCTGAACCAGTGAAGAAAAATGGGACGTGGGAATCTAACAGAACCAGAAGTCAGACAGCCTGTGTAAGGTGTACTTTCAAGCAAGCAGTCACAAGATTGCTGCCTAAAACTCTAGTTGAGAAAAAAGTGGGATATAAATCAAACAAATAAATAAAAGGGAAATGGTTTGCTAGCATGATTGTCTTCTCTAGTAAAAAGTGTAAGGATCCAAGGAAATGTGTATGATGAAGTTTTAAAAAAGCCCTCTTCTCCACACTATAGTAATATGGTGGTAGGGTTCTCAGGTTCAGGGCTAGAGCACAGCAGGAGCTAGGTATCTGAAAAATGGTAAGACAAAACAAGCAGGATTCTTAGAAAAACAACAAAACAATTCCAGGAAGGCTAGAGTCCTGAACAGAAGCATTCCTCTTAAGGGGTGGGAATATCTACAAGTGTCCCTAATTTCAGCCTATATATTTGGTCCATATTTTTCTGAAGTCTCAGTGATGGGTTTTTGTTCTAATTTATAGGTAATACAGGGAAATGGAAAATTTTCGATTGACATTCAATGCACGAATAAACACATTACAAAATACATTTTACGATGAAATGTATTGTACAGGATATGCAATTAATGATGGTAATCGATATTCATTTTATGTCTTGAAGAGAACATCATGAAGGTGCTGTCCATTTCTCTGTACACATTCTGACAGCCTGTTGTGGAAATTCTGTATTGCTCAATGTAACATGTCAAGAGGAATGTCAGCAATTTCCTCTTTAATCCTCCTTTTTAGTTCAGCAATGGTTGCAGGACGTGTGCAGTACCCTTGGCTTTTAAGATGTCCCCACAGAAAAAGAATCACAGACAGTGAGATCTGGGGAACTTGGAGGTCATGGAATGACTCCGTTCAACACTACTTGGGACTTTTTTAAGGCTGAACCCATTTCTTCAAAATTACACGCCCATGTTGTAATCGCATGAGCAGACAGGGCATGATCCTAACTGGTAATGATGCTGCAATTCCCTTTGCGCAAGTCACACTACCATCATTCTTATAAAAGGCTTTTACAGCAAACGCTCATTGCATACCACTCCACTGCTCCATTATAAATAATGGCAATGGGTTCTAAATGAGGTTGCACTGGTTCCAAATGTTCCAATTCCAATGTTGCCAATTCCTAGTTCCAAAATTTCCCGTTTCCCTGTGCCACCCAGCATAAGCCTAAGAAATTCTCTTAAAATAGGATTTCTACAGCTCGGTCCTACCATGTTTAATCAGCAATGATGGAGTAATATTTAGATGACACTGTCATATGATTTTCAATTAAATTATTGAATTAATTAGGATTTTAAAATTTTTAGCCGAGAATGCACCGGGGGTTTTTAAATGTCTTTTTAATTGTTATATTATTATTTATGTATGTTTTTATGTATTCTTTGTGAGCCGCCCTGAGGCTTTGTTGCGATGGGGGCGGCACAGAAATGTTTTAAATAAAAATAAATAAATAAATAAATAAATAAAATATGATTTTTCCAGCCTGCTGCAATTTGTGTTTTGATTTCCACTTGGTAACTTACCGCATAGAAGCGCATATTGTGATTCAATGGTCCAGGGACCTCCTCCTTGGATAGTTCAAACTGTGTGATGAGCTCATACAGGGGTACATATGCTGGAGGGGTATCAAACAATGGGATGCCTGAAGACAGAGAAATCATTATCACCCACCAGAGAAACTTGTTATTTTAAAAAAATATATAAAAAGTAACTATTAGCACACCCTTCATTTGGAACAGAGAGGGTTACAGTACTGGTTCCTATACAATACTGCAATCCTATAATTTCTCTGTGAGGAAGACGCTCACTGCACTTTGGAATTAGAAACTACTGATACTTAACAAACACATATTCCCATTTGGTAAGAGGATGCCAAAAATAAAGAAATTAATATAAAAGAACATTAAAATCACTCTGGTTCCATAGATCCCACACTGAACCGGTAAGACTTGGGACTCAAAAGCTGGATCACTCCTACATTTATGCTAGCAGGACTAGGTGAAATGCAAGCTTTTTCCTTTTTAAATTCTTCCCTGCTAGGCTTCCAGCCTATCAAACCAGCATAATACTGAAATAACCTAAGCAAAGCTTTGTGAGGCTGAAGTAAAAGAACCATAGTACTAAAGGTGATTAAGAAGGCTTGGGTAATCCAAGTTGTGTACCATGGAAAACCATATATTTCTCTATTCCCCAATTTGACATGCTATATACTTCCTGTACCTGCTTACTCTGCATAAAAAGGAAAGCCTGAAAAGAGTTGGGTTTTTTTTAACTCCAAAGGGAATTAAATAAGGCTTACAGAACAGAATCAACCAGGATTAATTTTAGGTGGTCAGAAGGGGCATGGAGAAAAAGGGAAAGGGACATACATTTGTTTGTTCATTCATTCTTTCAATTTGTAGGCCACTACAATAGCCTATATTTATGTCACCTCATTACAAAACTCTGCTCAAGCTTATTTTGATGTTTTACCCTTTTCCAGGCTGTATCATATATTTTCATGTGTATTCAGTAGTGAGGAGAATGAGATGCTTGCTTTGTTTTTAAAAAAACAGACAAAAAAGATTCTTGGGAACTAGTAGTATGGGGACACAGAAAACATCAACTGCTGTCCTATAGGTACGACACTAACATTCTCACCCGTGCCACCAAAACTCAAGCAGCCACTTATCTGACACCATGACTAACCTGTACAGTTCTGAAGTTTCTGAATGAAAGTCCGAGATACTGGAATAGGTCTTGGAAACTTTAAGAAAAAACAGGCTGGCAAATCAACACTGTTGGCACTAGTAACTGAAGAGAAAGAGGGTGTCCTGGAAGAGAAGGGATTGACAGCAGTATTATATCTGAGTTCACAAAATTCTTATATTTGGTATTCCAGAGTAGCCATTTTCACACTCTTTTTGGGGGATATCATTTGAGACACTAATTTTGAGCTGTAATACTGAACTACGGATTCAGAAATTTTGGAAAGTTCAATTTCCCATATGAAATGCTTACATACAGCAATCTTGCTCTGTGTGTCTAAACCAGATCTCAAGTTGATGGTCATATGAAGCAGGAATTTTGTAGAAGGACAATTAGAGAAATTCCTTGGGAAGGGTTGCTAGGCTCTGGATTAGCTAGCATCTAATGGTCAAGCACAGCAGGGATTCTCTGGCACTACCTATCCCTTCTCTTTGTTTAGTCCTTTCACCAGTATCTTGTGAACACGGCAAGCATTGATGAGACCTGCTGCAAACAGTACTTTCAGTGGCTGTCATCCACTTCCTTGCCCTGCAATCCTGCTGCAATCAGCAAAAGCTTGGTGGGGGAGGGAGAACCAGGAACAGGAGTGTATTAGTTGCCTTGTGCTGGGCTTCCAAGACCAATGTGAGGTGGTCCAGCCTACTGCTTGGCTGCGTTACTGCCTGACTAAGTGGTGCTGTGGCTGAGCAGTGGGAAAGCATCTCCTGCCACACAGAGCAACAGCAGGTAGAAATGCCCCCCACTATCCTATTTGGGTACTGCAAGAAGTGAGGGTGGTGCATTTCGTTAAGCCACCTCTGGAGGAACTTGAGCTCCACACACCCCTCCCCATGGCTGCAGGTATACTCAGCTAAGTCTCCCCACAAGGAAGCCTAACCAACCAGACCACCCTGCCCACAGCCACCACACTGAGAGTTCCCTTTCACAGGCACCATCCCACCTGGCAGCAGGAGGATGAGCCATTGTGTGCTAGACACCCCTTCTGAAGAGTTTGAGGGGTGGCACATGGCAGACCCCAAAGGCTTCTTCCTGCAATCCTGCTGATGCCAGTGGAGAGGGAAAGAAGAACTACTTGCAAGCAATCCTGTCCTCCCCTTGGCCCTGCAAAGAGCATGGAGGAAGACAATGTGCAATGTGCTGCTTGGACACTTTGCCAACAATCATGAGCTAGACCCCTTTTTCCTGCTCTGGCCAAGGGGCTCTCTAGCCTTTTGGCTTGCCCATGGCTTAACATTTTCTCTGGGTTTGTTCTGTCAGCATTTTGTTTGACAACGAGGTAAGCCATTGGGTTGGGGGGGGGTCTCTTAACCCCACCACAAGCAATGGGTTGTTGGGGTGGTCTAGGAGACATCCCTCAGGAAACAGGGGTGCTTCAGCTGACAAGCAAAGCTACACCCTTCCATTCCCACAAACCTTTGGTTGTATCTGACTGACTTATTCAGGTTGTTGATTTATTATTGTGAATTGCTGTAAGTGCTATGTGCTTGAGATAGGTAAGCTGCAAACTAATTACAAAGACTGCAGACAGTGAGTTGAAGGAAATTTTAACCCTGAAGCCCTGCCCAACTTCTGCAGTTTTACTGAACTCAGAAGCCTGTTGTTGCAAGCTGCAACAAAAAGCATAATTTGCATTTCAGCTTCACTGATTTCAGCTACATTGAAAAACACTGCTTTAACAAAGAATGGTGTATAGGAAGCTAAAGAAATCACGACAGAAAACTAAGTGTATTTTCAATCTCTGATATTAAGTATTAGTCTACTCCATTATTACAGACTTTCCCAATCCATTAGGCCCAGCCAGTAAGTCAGGAATCCTGAAAGCTGTAGTCCAAAATGTTGGAACAGTACTAGGAAGGGGAAGTTACCCTTTATTGTCCACAGGATGAGATCCCATAATCAAGGGGGCAATTGGAAGTTTGTTCATATTCAAGGTTCCTTCAATTGTAACACATACATTCATGCCCAGAGATCGAGGAACTGAAACAGGAAAGAGAGAGACAGAGTGTGAACATTTCAAAGAACGGTGGCTTCAACAAATCCACTTTAGAGCAATGAGTTATAAATTGTGTACTACACAGTTCATCAGCAGTGTTATTTACTGCCGTCCTAAAAATGGATGTATGAAGTATCTTCTTCAATGGAAGACAGTATCCTTGAATGAATTGTGCCTCTTACTTGCTCCAACAGACACAATACTATGCAAAGCAGACTCATCCACTTCATATCGTGTGGGAGAACATCCCCTTCACTCCACCATTCCAGTTCTGTCTGATGCCAAGGGAGCATGTATCAATAGAATTCTTTCAAAGTTAGCTCATATTTTTAGAGACTGAGGCTTCTTCCTTTCATACTTGGACTGGGCAAAGGCAAAAGCAGGCAGTATTGGGGGCCATTTTAACTCACCCTCTGACAAGCCACACTTACACTGGCTCCCTATGGAATTGCCCTTGGACCCTGGGGAGATGGCAAGTTGCAGTTTTTGACAAATACAAAGCCATTATTAGGTCAAATTTAACTTGTTCTCAAGCTAAATTTGACCTACTTACAGCTCCACAACTGTAAGCGACCGGCAGGGCATTTTTGCCACCAGTACAAATTTTGGTGCTGGTGGGTGCAAGGGTTATTGGTTCTGCACTGGTGGGGGCGGGGTGCAGGATGCAGCCCTGCATTACAGACAAGTGGGAAGTCAGAGTTTAGCAAGCGTAGGTGCTGTTCTCCCTTACAAAGTCCTGTTATATGATCTTAAAATTCAGCCACTTCTCTTTTGCTCATATTTTGTCTAGAATGTTGAGAGCAAGCTATGTGCAATGCACTTACATTCCATTTATGTAGCTTAAAGCAACTGCAGTTGTGGTGGAATCAACAGAAAGGGAATGAGTGCAGTGCAAAGGGGAGTGCTCAGAAAAAGGATAATACCTTGGTTCAATTTGCTACCTGGTTGTAAACCATTTAGTATTTGTTCCAAGGAACAGATAAATGTGCATGACTATTGTGAAGATATCTGCTGAAAGTCACCCCTTGCACATTCAGGCTAGAGGAGGGGTTCAAAAATGGATGTTATTTGGAAGACCAATTGCTGCACCTGTCCCACTTGATTGGGTAGTATCAGGGGCAGGGTTCTACCCTAAAACCCATTCCCTGACATTATCTATTTCTCTTTTCCCTGTGCTGAGAGACATAGGACCCTGTGCCTTTTCCACCACAGAGAAACAGATTTGGCTGGCATCTGTTGCTGTGGTTCCTAAAAGCACCATTCAGATTGGACACCCTCTTTCTTTATTGTGCCCATGAGCCATGCATGAAGGATCAGACTGACCGTGCACAGAAAAATGGTCCATCCATGCACTGGACAAATTCCCTTCTCTATGGTAAAAGGGAAGAATCCAGGTATCATGCAAAGTATCCTTTGGAGAATCATCAATGAAATACAAGATGGCACTGGGGATTCCATTGACAGGGTGGGTTGGAAGGGAGACTTCCCTGGGAACAATTTAGGTATCTAGTGAATTGAATTAGGCCCCACACACAGGAAATGTTACACACCTGGTCTAGATGAGCTTCAGGACAATTCAGACCCATGATACAGTAAACATGACTAATCAGGAAATTTGGGTGGGGTTAGAGAAAGTGTAAGGAGGGTGGGTTCTTACTCATTTTAGGTTTCTTTTCCATTTCTTTGTCTATTATTTGCACAGTAACCTGAATTCCACATACTTTGTGCCTATCGACTTTACTGCAATACAGCACATGTTCTGTAAAGAAACTCCTGCCTGAGACTCAAAAAGAAGCTTTGAAACAATCCAGGGTGTGTTTAAAGAACAGTTTTATAAGCACAAAAAGGGTTAGAAATAATTTGCAAGAAGAACATACCATTGTTCTCATTCAGAATGATGGGAGCTCCAGTACCTTCTTCAATCAAATCATAGGGTGAAACATAATACTTCAGATTCATCAAGTGACCTGGAAAAAGAAAATGTGTTAATGAAAAATGGTGCACAGTGTAGCTGGGAAGGGCAAAAATGGAAGGCTGTGCATTGGTTTAGATGCATTATTTGACTGATTGATTGACTGATTGATTGCATGTCTATACTGTTCAATAGCCAAAGCTCTCTGGACAGTTTACAACTCTTAAAACCATGAAGTATAACCTAAAATACATTATAAAAGTTTAAAAGTACAGTATAAATAGGAGTAAAAACCAAATCAAAGCCTAGCAAAAATACCAAGATTAAAATACAATAATGGCTTTAAAATGAAAACTGAAAGTTTTAAATGCCTGGGAAAACAGGAAAGTCTTCACCTAATATGAGAAAGAGCACAAAATAGCTACAAGGCAAACCTCTGTGGGAAGCACCTTCCACAACTGAAGCGCCACAACAGAAAAGGCCCTTTTCTTAGCAACCAACCACTTCACTTCCTTTGGATGCAAAGGTCTGCCAAGGACAAGCTCAGGGTCCAGGCAGGAACACATCGAATAAGGAAATCCTCCAAGTAACCTGGCCCCAAGCTGCTAAAGGCTCTGAATGCCAACACCCCAAGCTGAGCCCAAACATGCACTAGCAGCCAGTGCAGAGATACAAATACTGGTGTAATATTATCATGCTGGCCAGGCCCTATTAGCAATCCTATTGCCCTGTTCTACTAAGTCTCTGCATAGACTTCAAAAGTACATAATTGTGACACCTTTCATGAGAGAGTTCAGAGCTCTTGAGACACAGACTTGGATCACACTCACAACAGGCCACTCTGACTTAATTCACCCATTGCAGCTATTGTGCTAGGTACCTGCAGACATCATTTTTGTTTGTCACAATAATGTGAGCCTAGGCAGTAGGTGTTATTTGAGAGTTAAACAACCCTCCAAGAACCCAAGGCTTGTCTTAACTGCACACAACCTCTGCCACTTGGATTTGCATGACATGACAACCAGGCACCAAAATGGCATGCATGGGCAATGGCCCCAGCAGGTAAGCCATAGTCAGCTGCGGTATTCTGTAAACCAGGTCAAAAGAGTTCTTTGCACTCTGCCCTCCCCACAGTCTCCTTCTCATGACAATCCACACAGTTCCAAGTCTCCTTCCTCTGCTACTTGCAGAACAGAAACCCATCAGGTTTTACCCAATCAGTTAGCTGGCTTTCTGCCTTAAACTGTGTCCTGAGTGAATAATTCAATGTTATTTCAATTCAATAATTTAGAAGAGTAAGTGCTGTGAACCACATGCTTTTTCCTTATGGGGCTCTTCAAAATACATCACCATGGTATTATGACCTTTCTCTAAATAGCACATGTAGCATTCCTTTCACATTATTCTTACAGAAACCCAGGAGAAAATGACTTCCCTCATCAGTTCTAACATCCAAAGTTAACACATAAGCCAGAGTTCCATATTGGTTCTCAGTGAATAAGACCATCAATCAACTAGTACTAATTGATGGATGTCTGTTTTATCAGATGTGTCTTCAGAAAGTGATGTCTTGAACATGTCACCACAGTGGGGGCACACTGCTTTCTAGATGATTTGTTAGATTGGTATTTTTGTGTTCTTGTGATAGCCATATTTGTAGTTGCTTCTTTTTTCTTGCAGTTACATTACCTATAGCTGGGGTTCTTAATATGGTACCAACAGGCAGCAATTTGCCTGAGGACACTTCTCTTTGTACATGTCAGACTCCCTGATTCTTCTAGTTAAAAAAAAATTCTTTCTTTTCTTTAAAAACTGGGAAGCTAGCATGCTGCAAAACCAAGTGCTGGTTTCTAGTAATTTTCATTTCTAAAAATATCTTTGTGATCATTTCAGATATAAAAGTGGCGGATACTTGCAGTACAACATGTGTAAACTTACCATTTTTTCTGCAAGTTGGGTGTTGATGTGCAATATGGAGTATTACTTTAGGAGCGCTAGAGGGATGGGAAGAATAGAGGATGTTGTGTCTTTGCTAAGGGCATGTAACCTGGTGTGGGCATGTGAGGTCCTTTGCCAGTGTATGTTTCTCTGGGAATCACCAATATGCCTTCTGGGAAATGAGTATTTTGCTTTGCAGGATTAAATACATGACTAAGAATTTGGAGCACAGGTCCCATCCCTGCCATTTACTCAATTTCTTGGTCAAGTTAATTGTCTGTAGTTTCATCAATTTGCCTTCTAAGAAATAGGGATTGGAGCAGAAAACTGCAGGTTCAAAAGAGAGGTGTTTCTGGAGTTTGAGTTCAGATCCAATATAGTTTTGGAGTTCAGACTCAATTTTTGTCTTTTGCTTATATTAATGGACAAGGTACTTTTATTTTACTTATCAATTTATCTTCAAGTGAAGTAGGTGTTTTATGACTGGCCTTACTCCTGTGGCAGTCATTTTGTGAGAATGTCCACAGACACTCTAACAAAATTCAAAATGTACCCACCAATCCAAAAAGGTTAGGCAACCTTAGCCTATAAAAGAGATTCAGTTCTGTGTGTATTTTAAATCTTTCAGGAAAAAATGGATAATGCCATTACGTGGATAACTGCATTCAAGGATTTTCCCTTCATGCATACTCTTCTTCTTCAACAAGAGACCATTTCCTACCTCCACTTCTTGGGGTGAGATAACCCACAGTGCCATGCAGGATCTTATCCAAAGGGCTTGCATTGGTTGCTTGCCTACAAGCAGAAGGATTCGGAGACTTATAATAGCTGATGAAGAATTAAGATCAAAGAGTACTTCACTAGAAATCTTTTGGAGAGATTCTTAGGTTCAATTTGTCGCATAGCTAAATTTAAATCATTCATTTATAACATTAATAACACAATCTTATACATGTCTACTCATAAGTCAGTCCTATTAGGTTTAATGGGACCTACCCAAGCTAAGTGTGCATAGAACTGCAGTTGTAAATTTACCAAAGAGAAACCACTTTTTCTATTAAAATCTCACTTTTTAAAATCATTAAATCCATACTGATAGTGTGGATCATTAAATACAGACCTGTTCTTGGAATTTGGGAGACCTGGATTCTAGCCCTGTCTCTGCCCTCATCATAAATAAAATAAATAAATTCTCTCTGAATCTTTCCAAATACAAAGGATTTTTTCCCCTTTATAACCCAAATCCTTATATTTATCATTCATTTGTACATCTATTTAATAATCAAAATCCTTTATTTCTGTATAATATTTTAAGATGGAAGGGTGCAATATTTTCACCCTTCATTCTCATGAACACCTTAAAAGCTTGGTCAATAATTAATCACATTCACATTTCATTGTACTGGAGCCAAAATTGTATTACACCCTATCCAACAGTTTAGTGTTGTTATTTTGTATATATAACTTTGTGTTTTCAAGGTTATATACCACCTCAGCATTACCCAAAAACATCTAGCTGTACATACAAAACAAAATCACTGAACTGTTGAGTGGAGGGTAGTACAATAGATAAATACCACCATATGTGGCAGGAATGTGGACAAATACATAGCCTTTGGAGGGAAGCTTTTCAAGAGAAATACACATGAATCCATAAATGACATTACTGTCTATCATTAATGGAATGGCCCTAATGAACATTTAACAGGAACGGTGCAATTTATGGTATCTTGTCAACTATTAGCAAAGATGGATAGATCTGTCAATAGTTGTGTAGTTCCAATAGTCTTTGGAACAACTGTGTTATTTGTTCAGTTAACTTTTCAACTAAGATCTCAAAGATTTAACAAAAAGGAATCTGACATCTTCTATACAATTTTGTATGAATCTGTTAACAAACAAGGTTCATAGAGAAGATTAACAACATGTCATGGACAGATATGGAAAAATACATAGAGATAATAACTGAGTCTTAAATCCCTGCTGATCTTCTCTGGATAAATATGTTCTTAATATACTGAATCCCTTGTGATTTCTGCTAATTATAATTGGATGTTTAATATAATGCATGTCTTGCTAGCTAAAATGGTACACTCTTTTCAATATACTCATTGATTATAGTGAAAACATAGGAATGAAAACATCATCATACAATATTTCTGCTTACTACAACAGGAACATGTACGGCTCAATATGTCAAATTGTTCTTACCAGTACATTCCTGCCATCTTTGAAAGATCAAGTTCCAGTGATTGAAGCGCCAGGTACATTTTAGTTTTCAGTTTACTGAAGAGAGAGAGATTATCTGATATAAAAGAAAGATTTTATACGGAAAGATAAAAACTGCTACAGAAGGTAGCAATCCTACACATTTATCTGAAACAGGTTACTTCTGCGCAAACATACATAGGATTGCACTGTGAATCGACCTGATTGTCTAATTTGCATACTCTTCCAATATTTCAGTACAAGATCTTTACCAGCCTTATCATTCAACTGCTGACACACAAGGTATTTAATTTGAGATCCCTTATAATCTATGCAACTTTGTGACAAACAGATCCCCTTTCAAAAGGATGATGAAAATGCTCATAAGGCTGCTGGGCCTTTTTCACCAGGGTTAAGTCCTCCAGCCTCAATCCCATCTCCAGCTCAGAGGAAGGGAAGGTTTTGCTGCTCAGAGAATCATCATTCCCCAGGCCTCTTCAGACTAAAAGATGTGGCCTTGCCCAACTTGGAAGATCCACTTCTAGTGCAATTTTCACCACTCCAACAGTATGAGAGCCAATAGCAGCAAAACTGAGCAATGTCCCTTTAAGAACAGAGAGGTCTCAGAAAGATCAGACCTCAGCACTCTGCTGGAGCAACAGTATTTCTAATGCTCTAACTATGGATCTGCCTTGTTAACTACCTCTGCTGCTGACAGCTTCCCTTGAGCCTTAACAGGATAGGACAATGACTTACAAAACTGCACACTGGATCCAGTTATATCTGCAGAACTCAAAATCTCCAGTTGTATTTTTGTAAATAAAACTGATTTTAGCCTTGTGTGATCTTTCTAGTTTTGGTGACAGTTCTGGACTCATACCAAATTTGCCACTGCAGGTTTATCTTGGCTCCTCCTCCCAAAGCTGAGACATACCCAGGAACATTCCGTGATAATGGAAGAAAGGAAATGAGTGATGCAGGTAGCAAAGAGAGACGGGGCAGGTGAACATGCAGATTAATAGACTGTCAACCACTATACCCAAGGCTTTAACTCTTACACACTCCTTCTTTCCACATTCCAAAAAATTATATAACAGACTGCTTACTTGTCACCTGGCAGCTTATACAGATTGACAAGACCCTTAAGGTGCTTAGAAAATTCATTGAAGTTTCTCTCTCTAGGAAGGAAAAATATGCCAGTTTTAGATAATATGGAGCAATTACAGATGCAACGGACATTCACACTTTTATTAATCAAACAAAAGGGTGAGGGGAGTTTGGGTGTTACAAGATCTCAACTGGGGAGGAATATAAGCCTTGGCTACCTCTGTGATCATTGAATGGCTGGATGTTCTTCCTCAGAGCTTACTAACTTGGAAGGATCCCTTCCTACATGACTGTTACAGTTCCAAAACATGAATTTCTAATGCAAAAACCTTTCAGAAGAAAAACATTAACTGCAGAGTCTAGAAGGTTTGTTTGTTTGCTTGTTTATAGTTTCTATATCCTGCCCTTTACAGTGTCTCAGGGCAGTGTGTTGTGACACTCTATTCCTTTCACAGAAAGCAGGAATGGTGTATCAAGCATTGGTAACCCCCTACATGATTACAAAATGTTATACTCTGCTTTTTACTTTAGAGGCAGAAAAGTTAAATCTTCACTGCTTTTCTGCAGTAGATGAAAACAGTCAATTCATGCAATTTCATTGAAGTCTGAGATTTGAAAATATCCAGATGGGTCACAGTGACTTTCAGTAGGCCTTCAGTGACCAATGTTGCTGAACAGAGATTTGTACCTTGACCTGAAACAACAAATTCACAGCATCTAACCTATATGGGTCTATTAAAAAAGCATTAGAGATGATGGACACATACTAACATACTTAGATAGATAAATGGCAGAAAATAATGTAGTTGACTTTAAAGCTGGTGCGAGGAAGTGTTGAGAATGTGCCCTGGCTCAGTGGGGGACCCACAACATCTGAACCAAGCTCTACTTCAGCTTTTAGCAAGCATAATATAGTCTAATATAGCTGTAGGAAGTTGGCTGTCATGGGAATGTATAATTGCTCAACTTCTCAGCTAATTACAGGTGAAGGCAGAAGCAAGATCGCAAAGATTAAGTAGGAAACAAGTTATAGAGGTGATACAGGACTGTTTAAAGCATATTTCAGCTTGAAGCATCCACCCAAGGAGCCAGAACAGAAATGTTATTTTTCCAAATGCTGGCTGCTTATAGAAACATAGAGGGGAAAAGAAGCAAGTCAGAAGGGGCCTCCCAGGCCAACTAGTCTGACCCCTGGCTCCAGTCGGCTCCACTCATATCATCCCCAACATGGATCAGATTTGTTTGTTAATTACCACTCCCCTGTTTATAAGGTGAGACACCAGCATAAAAGCATTTGCTGGTAGCAATGTATTTAATTAACCAGAACTCTTCTTCCTTATTTACAATGGTCTTTGTTTACCAAATACTTTCTGCCTCAAGGCTTTAGTGCTTCCAGAGAATCTTGTAACCAAGAAACTGTCAACTTATGCTACACAAGGAATGTGTAACTTTGTCCAGTTCTCTACCAAGGTACAGACACTTTGATTTTACTGCCCATTACACTTTCCATCTGGACTTTCCATCAACTGGATTAATTAAGTGCCCAGGACTTATCATCCACTCAGGACTTTTATCTGTTGCCCTTGTAGCAGAATATAATGCTAGTATACTAAAAGACACTGACTTGTTTGTATGAACAAAGTATCTTCATTCTTCACTTCCATGAATGCATTCTGGTCTCGAATATTAGTGACATTTAAGACATATTAGTGACTTTAAGACACCAGTACAGTAGGTGTCAATGCAGTCTATGCTGCTGCCAGTATGCCTATATTTCCAGGTTTGTCTGATTTCAAGCCTATCTCCTGAACCAGAATTTGCTTGGGGTCCTTTTCAGTAGAAGCTCCAAGGGGTAAACCTCTCTGCTTCTCATAATTCAATTTTGTCTAGTTGATTCCTGAGTTCTGGAATTTGAAGCCCAGTGATACAAGTTCCTGAAATATGGAACACCTTCAATAAACTATGATTCTGCCTAGTCATGACTCATTCTTGCATCCTTAAACCCAAAACAAGCTTGGAGTTTTATGAAACTCTTTCTTTCTGGGCTGATTCCATCACCTAAGGCTCTTTGCCTACTTTATGCTTGTGTCCCTGCACTTACAATCCTGTTATGTAGCACTCCTTAAAAAGCAACTACTCCAAGAGCAGGGACTATGCCTGGCTATAACAATTTGTGACCCTGAGTTGTACTTGGACTTCTGTGCATGAGAACCTGCTTTGGGGAATGACTTTTTGCTTACAGCTCTAGCCATGATTCCTCATGAGCTGTGACCCTTAGCCAGTTTTTGAATCTTGTATTGTGGACCTGGCTCTCTAGATGTATTAATAAGCTAATAATGTGCTAGAATTTAAATCCCTAACTGTGATTATTTACTTTCTTCTGAAAAGCTCTTTAATCTAAACCAAGGGCCATTATCTCTCAAGCTTGCTGATTTATAACTAAGGTTAAGTGCTATGACTTCTAAAGTGTGATCGAATTCACCACTAAATAAAGCTAAATCATGAAACTATGTCTGCCCTACAGAGACTAACCTAGGCCCACTCAACAGTAAGCATGGAAGGGAGGGGGCAGAATGCAGCAGCTGAACTGAGGAAGTCTCAGGAGCAACGAGATCAATTTGTAAGAATCAATTAAAACCAAGTTTACTAACTGTAGCAATTACAACACTAAGCAAAAGATGTTAAAGCAGTTCAGGTCTGCTAGTAACAGTACTCCTTCTAGCTAATGGACAAATCAATTGAGTTAAGACAGTAGTACTGAAGAAATTACTGACCTGAGTAGGATCATGATATTTATATTGTTAAAATTATCTTTCTCTATCCCCAACATTCTGGGAGGCTTACAAAAATGTAACAATTTTTAATGTTTTCAAAGATCAACAGAACAACCCACACAATACTATATTAACATTCCAAGTTAGTAAGGCCCATTCTATAGCCACTCATGAACTCTGACAGAGCTTTTGCTGTGAAAGAGGAGGAAACAAGAGTCCTAGCTGGTAATGGTTTTCTGCCTGTCCAGGCTTGGCTTTTCCTCATCATTTTAACCATGAAGACAACTGACATAAATGAGAAAATATCATCTAAAGCAGAATAAACTCTTCATGAAACTGCTAAGCGGCCCATCAGTGGCTAGGATCACAGAATGTTCACCCTTACTGACTGGAGCTGCAGAGAAAGTACCCGGCAAGGTCTTACAAGAAACATATCCTGAACTTGCTCTAGGATTTGTTCTTAAATCATAATGATCAAATCTGTTCACATTCACAGGTAGGGAGGTCACTTGTTACAAGTGCATCTAAAAGTCTCTGCTCAGTTCTATTTCATTCCACCTTTGGCATCTTACCTACCTGTCAACAGTATTCTACTCTTCTTATCCCGTCTCACACAAAGTACACACACAAGGCATATGATCACTATTTCTAGACAAGGAAACTGCCACGATAATATGCATAAAAAATTTAGGAGGCCCATGTCAATGGCACACCTCCCACAGAACAGGGCAGCTCTCAGGTATTTATACCACAGCAAGAGAACTGCTTTGGCTGCGATTGTTATATACCATTATGAATAAGCCAGATCTGATTACGAGTAATTCATAAGAAATTAAGAAATGCAGAAAGAAGACAAACGCTTTTATTTCACCAAAAGCTTACTAGCTATGGAAAACCAGCCCAGTCTCTGAAATTCTCAGGATCAAAATGCTGTTAAGCAGTCCATTGAGCACAATGATTAAACTCATGTAATGTAAGGAATGTAAGGAAATGCAATGTGATAGAGAATATTTACTGTGTAGACATAGAGGTTTCAATGATCAGCTGTAATGCCAAGCCACGTTTTAGTGTTACCAAAAAAAAGAGCACTGTACCCAACTCATCCATGCCTTGTGTGCTTTGGTTCAATAAGTTAACTTAGTTTGCGCTCGCAATTAAACCAGCGAATAATGTTTTGTGTTTGATCTCAAAGGCAGGGTTGTAAACTCAAGCCTGGCTTACAATCCAGGTATTAAGGGCAAGTGCAAACTGCAGTTTGCCAATTCAGTTTTAATAAGGAACTGTCATTTGTACTACAAAGGAAGTAATTCATTGAAGTGGACTATATGATGAAAGGAGGCAGTTATTAAGGTAATTCATGTAGTACCGACAGGTGCAACCTATTAAAAATCATTTTTTTAGAAATGAAATGTGAAACAGCAAGCTTAAAGGACTACTTTTTACAGAGTGGCACAAGAACCCAGATAATATCTCCTGTTGAGAACAGGAAGAAGGAGGGAACAGAAGCTGAAACATCCTTGGACATCACCAACTTCTTCATTATTCTGGGTTTCAACCTATCATTAACAGCTCCTGAAAAGCACAACCATTGACAGCAAATCTACACTCCTGTTAAGTATAGCTTTTTTAGAGATCCCCAACCAGTTTGGCTCAGTGGGCACATCTGAGATTTGAAGCATATGCCATAGGCATATAGTTACAATATGGCCACCATGGGAGCTATCCATTCACAAAATGGCTGCCATGTCAGGCCAAACACTAATTTGACAGAAATGTCAAACTTGGGACAATAACTTTGTCCAAGTACTTGAACACAGGCAAAGACAGGGTCTGAACCCACTATAAACACACTTATTTGAACAGAGTGTTTTCTCTTTTAGAATTATACACCCTGAAACAAATCTACAGATTCTTTTATGGAAACTGTAAGCACACAAAGTCCACTCACATGCTATTCAGATCTCTTTTCTTTTTTGCAGGATCATTCCCAGCAACTCACTCACTCTCTCTCACACACATACCTACCTCTAATTTCTCTCCCCAACAGGGTCTTACTGAAAGTCCAGATCTTCCTCATCTTCTCCTCCCACCCACTGGGAACACCCCCAGCCCAGGACTGCCCAATTCCCCCTCACACTCTATTAGGCAACTCTCCCCAGCTTCCCTGCTGCCATCCACAAGTCTCCTACCATTCCAGGCAATGGTAATGGGGTCTGTCTCTCCCTTTTAGTAGGGGTGGCCTAGAACACTTTAAAACAAAGTACTCCAGCTACCCAACAGTGTTACTTCCCAAAAAAGTCTGTGTCCAAGCAAAGTGAGGGCAAGGCTAGTGCTTCACTTTAAAGTGTTCTTGGTTACCCAACCTTTTAAAAAAAATCATAGATATTTGTAGAACACCCCACGGTGCAGAGGTTTTCTCTGAGTGCTATGGTGACCGTGGGCCTATCCCTAGCATATATGATAGACTAGAAAGTCTAAACAAATCCAAACAATTGTATCTAAAATGCACAAGAGAGGTTATAGCAAACACAAGAATGGTTATCGATTGCTGGAAAACTATAGCCATGTAACAGAACTGTATGATAAAGGCAACATCAAAAAGCATTTATTACTTACCTTAGATGTTGCACCAGCTCTGGGCAACTCTAGAAGGGAACAAAAGAGAGATGTTTGTCTCAAATTCATTTGAAGCTGTTGAGATTATCAGGTACAACTGTGTGCAAGATATACTGCAAGTGGGGACAAGTTGTGGTTCTTCAGATGTTTTAGCATACAATGCCCCTGAGTCTTAACTAGCATAGCCAATGGTGAAGGAAGATAGAAGCTGTAGGCCAAAACATCTGAAGGGTCACAATTTGCCCACTTCTGCTGCAGCAGATGCTATCTTCATGCAGATATGAATAACTTCCTTCCCAAAACTTCCTCAATAGAATTCTTCAGGATATTTGGGCAATACAGCAGTTAGCTGACCACTTGTTTCCTTGTAACTAGAAAGATCAGCCAGGGACTGAACTATTAGACAACATGATGGAGTGATTCTGGAGATATCGAAAGCTAAATGCAAAGTGGGTAGATATATGGGCATGAAGGAAGGGGCAAGATCTGAGTAAACCCTTGGACACAGGGATCCATGACACATATTGCAACTGTCCTTGTACCCAGGGGTAGGGTGAACTATAAAAAAGCTTGTTTCTAGCCAAGGGAGATGGAAGGTTAGTGCAATTTACATACCACAGGGTTTTCTCCATGATGCGCCACCTTGACATCACACAGCTGTCCTGTAGGATCCAAGTGAACTTCCACATAGAACATGTCTGATGTTATGTAACATTCAGTACCATTTGCACTAAGGTGAGATCCAAGGCTTTTAAAAAGAGGGAAAGGATGCTCAGATTTGGAGGGAAAGAACAAAACTCAACCAGCAGCTCATTAATTCATCTGCATGTAGGTGTGGTGTGATGTGGTGCGGTGCGGTGGTTAGAGTGCTAGACTGGAGATCTGGGTTCTAGTTCCCACTCAGTCATGAAGCCATTGGAAGACTCTGGGCCAGTGATAAACTCTAAGCCTAACCTACTTCATAAGGTGGTTGTTATGGTAAAAGGGAGTGGAGAACTGTATAAGCTGCCTTGGGTTCCACATAAGAAGAAATAGGGCAGGATGTAAATGCAAAGTAACAGCATATCCTGGAGGCAAAAACTGGCAACAATGGGTTGGATTCAGAATAAGGTAGCACTTAGTTTCCACTGAAATCAGTAAAACTTAATTCATGACTAGCTGGTTCCACTGAAGTCAATGGAAACTAAATTAGTCTGGATTCAACTTGGTGTATTTATTACATGACCTCAGCCATTTTTCTCCTTTTCTTCATAAATACCATATACTATCACTGTTTGGCTTTTCCCTGCCCACCCAAGCTGTATCTACTCAAGCTGTGGAACTGATATAGAATCTAAGTTACTTAAATCCAAATCAAACATTTCATTTACTAGCATTGGCCATCATAATGCTTTAAAACAATTCAAAAAGTTTCAAAACAAGTAAAAACAATGTACAAAAGCATTCAAAAAAGGTGAGCTTATACTCCATAAGCTCTTACATTTAAGTTATAGGTCCGATGTGATGATCCAATTTATCCATGTTAGCTATGAGAACTGATATTAAGTAGGAAAACTACTTTCAGACTCACAGTTTCACACATATGTAACAGTTATACATCCATATATTTCAATAGGACTTGTTTTCCAAAGTAAACTTCCATTGTGTATACAAAATATCAATAATTTAATTAGCCCTTTGAGGGTTACATTGTCAGTCTGGTACCCATCAGAACTCCCAAGAGTTCATCTACTCTACCCCCAATCCAATATGCAGCGATGGAAGCCCCTTCACTGATCAATCAGTACAATCAGCACAACAAAACAAAGCAGCGCACGGCAGCTCCATCCCTGCCAATATGTTCCAAGAAGCCCAAGCAACTGAGTTAAACAAGATACTACACGGGAAGCAAGAGTGGCCACAAGACCACTAGAGAACCCTTAATACCTAGCTTAAACAACTTATTCCTTAGCGTCATGTCTGAAATTCAGTGCTTATATCCAGAGATTTGAGCACTTCCAACAGCAACTCAAACTGCCAGTGATATTAACATAATTCTTTCAAACTAAACAAATAGAAACATTTCTAATGGGACAAGAAAGACTCACCCATTTTGTCTAGCAATGGACTCCAAGCGATCTGTCATAGCAGGCAGAGATGTCACTAGAGGGAAGATCCAAGTTAATATGTAGCTTTATTTGGTGAGTTTAATGAAACTTTCTCTAAGGTATCTGTTCAGGCTGAGTTTGGTCTTAAAGGATTTACTTTACATTGATGCTTTATATTCAGTAACACTGGTGCTTACTATCTCTTTTATGGCTACTCACCCTGAAGCTTTAGGATAAGAAGGACTACACATGGAACTGCATCAGCCAATCTATGACTTCTTACTATTTCAGACTGAATGATTCTGCTGAGTGCTAGCAGCGGGTTTCTGTGTTTGAAAGTTGGTGGGTCCAATTACATAGAAGGCAGTACACAGCAGTGAGATCTGTTTTTAAACAGCAACAGGACTATGCAGGTGAATAATGGAAAATTTTTCTAATGGTCCATCTCTCACAGTTGTCTTAAGCCCTTCTCATCAGCCAAATTCTGCTGTTGTACCTGATAGCTGGCTATGTGAAAAACAGTTACAGAGGTGGAAAGTAGGAGAGTTTTGCATTCTTCAACTGTGTCTCTTGATAAAATTAGAAATTAAACCCTCCAGTTCCCAATACAGGGAACTGCCACAAAAGTACTCCTACATTTCCTGGTTTGTACAGATCATGTTTTCTCTTATAACTTCTTTTATATCTTTTATATTTTTATTTATTTTATATTGTTATTTTTGTATTGTATTTTATTGTGTTGTGAGCCGCCCCGAGGCTTCGGCAAGGGGCGGCATAGAAATGTTCTAATAATAATAATAATAATAATAATAATAATAATAATAATAATAATAAAAAAACAGTTTTCCTGGTTGGGTGGAGGAGAAGAGAGCACATGCAGCTCTTTCTGAGTCCCATAAACCAGTTGGTTACATCTGATCCAAGCCACTTTTTCATCAAAAAGCACCTGGAGCTAAAGTACCACTGTGCACTGAACCTCTTGGTCAAGAATTTAAAGGCTGGAAATAAGTTTCTATAGCTTCCTACGTGAGAGGGTTATAGGAAGATTCTTAACAGTAGTATTACTACTGCTCTCTTAAGAAGCACCACTTCCCACACATCACTAAAACCCAATCTGTTTAGCTTTCCCAAGTCAAAATGAATATGGTTCAACCAGGGATATTAAAAAATGAAGCATTCTGTTCACACCCTCAAGAGTGAACAAATGCAAACTAACACAATGAAAAAGAGATGGCTTTGGACGTCCTGATTAGAATAGTGATTTTTATTTGCTGAAGTTTTATCTGCCACCAGCCCACAACTCCTTGACATGTGGGAAAAGAAACTTAAGTGATACTGTGTCAACAATACAATATTTTTATTGTCTAATTTGTTATATTTGTATATTTTGTTCTTGTTGTGAGCCGCCCCGAGGCTCTGTTGCGATGGGGGCAGCATAAAAATGTTTTAAATAAATAAATACATAAATAAATAAAACTATGTACATGAACAGCTTACACCAGAATTCCAGAGTATGAATTTTCCGACTACAGCATAGTCAGGAAAACTAGCAAAATAACCTTTGAATAGGCTGGAAAATATCTATATCCATTAGCTTTCAAGAAGCAATGACTAACAGGCCCATCAACAGTTTGATAACTTGACTCATCCTACCCACTATGGCAAGGAGGCTGCCATGATCTGACAACGGATAGAAAATTTCTTCTAACACCAGTGCTGCTAAGCAGATGATCCCTGCCCATCTCAAACATGAGCAAAGGCCTTCCATTTGTTTCAGCTCTACAGATGCTATGGGGACACGCGTGGCGCAGCAAGTTATACTGTACAGCCACAGGGCTGTTGCTTGGAAGGTCGGCACTTCAAATCTGCACAATGGATGGGTGCCCACTGCTTTGTCCCAGCTCTTGCCTACCTAGCTATTTGAAAGCATACAAATGGGAGTAGATAAATAGGTACCACTTCAGTGGGAAAAGTAACAGTGTTCCATGCACCTCGGTGTTTAGTCATGCCGGCCACATGACCACAAAAGCATCTTCAGACCACGCTGCCTCTTCAGATTACAGAGATGAGCACTGCCCCAGAGTTGGGCATGGCTAGCACACATATGCAGAGAAACGTTTACCTTTACTTTACCTATGTATATGCTATACAGCTATACAGAAAAATCTTTGCCCTGCCTCCCTGTTTTCAAGCTGGAGAGGGAATAGTGTATTTATTTATTTGGAATTTTTGTATGCCGTCCCATTCGCATAAGCCTCAGGACGGCTTCCAACATCATAAATAAATACTCATACAAATAGATACATATAAAATCTGGATACATCCTGGCTGAATAATTTAAAACCAATACATAATGTCAACGATTATTAAAATATCGTTTAAATAAAAAGGTCTTGGCCTGGCACCGAAAAACAAATAACGACGGCACCAGGTGGACCTCTCTGGGGAACGCATTCGTTAAGTGGGGTGCCATAAGTGTAGGCATGGAAGTGTATCTCTGTACCTGCTAAGTGGCTGGAACTCTGATGGTAGCAGACACAGAAAACTAGCGTGCTTCTGCCACTCCTTCTGGGGGTAGGGGATGAGGAGGCACCTGTTTTTCCCTAGCCTTATGCTGTATTTCAAAGATGCAACACAAAATCCAGGACAAAATCCCACCTTTTCAGGAAAAGAACATCCTGGCATCACAAGATGTTGGTTGACTGCCAAGACAAAATTTATCATTCCCAACCCATCTCCCTCATGAGACTAGAGATGAAAATCTGCCCTTCACCTTCGCTCAGAAAGCGTGTGTGTTAAATGACCATATGATTCAATTTCTCCTAATGTCAAAGGTTGCAGAATTACCACCTCCCAGTCAAGATTGGCTGAAAGGTGGAAAAGGCCGGGACAGTGAACTACAGAGATGCAACAGGCAACCCCCCAAGTGAGAACACTGGTTCACTGGAAACCAGGGTGCCCAGTTTGAGAATTACTAGTTTGAATGTTGCATGTTTTAGGCAGCAGCTGAAAGAAGACCGTAAGTAATTTTCCCAAGCAGTCACTTAGTAGTTAAATGAGACATTACATGCATATAAGCAAACAATGTTCAGTGGATTGACTCAGTGGACCTTCTTTACATGGATCAAGGCCTGGCATCACATCTACTAATTGTGCCAGTACAATCATTTATAAAGGGAGAAAACTTCAGCAAACAGTCATACTTCTGAATAAACAGGCACAGAATTGCCCTTTAAGCCTGTTTCTAAATAAAGGCCTTTTGGGGTATCAGGAGCATCAATTCAATGTGCCCAATATATGCAAGTCATATTAATACAGTGATGACCCCAATACCAATTTCTGTTAGTTAGGGGTTGTTTTTAAAGTTCAACTTTTAGCTCCTATATTTATGAAGCAGCAACCAACCTTTTAAGGCTTTCTGCAAAGTTTCCAAGCAGCTGACAAGATTCTGATGACCTCCAGAGTTCATTACAACTCGTTTTTCCTGTGTTCAAAAGGGATGGGAGAGAAAAGGAAAAAAAAAATTTCATGCTGCATTTGACGATGTTGTAAGTGAAAAGGAATAGCTAAAAAAATTCCTAGAAGCTTCCACTTTGCTTTTCTTTCTCTGGAAAGCTAGGTACTATAAATATATTATCCTGTGCAGTATACAGATAGACCATGAGCATTGGTCATACCATTCAATTAATTTTAGAATTGTCCCAAGGAACAACAGCAAGTAATGGGAATAGTTCTTCGAATACAAGCATATTTTGACTACTGCTTTCTGTGTTTCTAGGATCTCTGAGGTTTCTTGAGAAAACAATTCATAATAGGTTCTGCTTTCCAGCAAGAGCTGTCTATTACTGCCAATGTTCAGTACATCTCCAAGGGAGTAACAAACATTCTCAATTCACTTGAGACAACAGCAAAACCAGGTGGGAGCAATAATCCTCTGCAAGTGCTCATTTCTTGGAAACAATGCACACAAAAAATGTTCCCTAAAGACAGAAAGTCTTAACCACCACCAGTTTAGAAGCAAGCTGTCAGAATGATTTTCTCAAATACTCCTGTCCAAAATCTACGGAATCCTTACCATAACTTGACGAACAAGCTTCATGGTTTCTGTCCAAGGTCTGCTGTTGGGATTAAATTTGACATGCAGTCTTTCCAGAAGGGAACTCATCTTATTCAGTTTCTCTGATTCTATGAAAGAAATATTAAATTAATACAACTGTGCAACAGCATTTTAAATCTAAGTTCAGAATAGCAAATTCATATTTCAGGTTTCTTACAAACTCCCCAAAGAACACTAGCTTGTATCAATGAGACACTCACTCCATTCATAGTGGTCCAACTAATTCTCTATTTTTTGCAAAAACTTCATACTTGGGTAGTCCGCATGTGGGTGCATTGTGACTACATTACAGCAGCTGAAACAATCCCCATATAATCACTAGGATCCTGTCATTTACAAGGTTGGAAAATATCCAGCTGTAGAAAAAAAAGTCATAGGTGCCAGCAGCAAATTTCAAGGTGGACAAACACCAACATATGTTCCTTTCCTTGTCATTTCTTTTAAAAAAAATTAGTACTGCCAAATTCATATCATTATATGAAGTTGCTTTATACTCATACTGTTGGCCCAACAAATCTAGTGCTGTCTACTAACAACTGCTTCCTATGAGCATGGGTACAGAAGTCTTTCACAGCTCTGCCAGAGACCTTTTTAATACAAAAGTTTCTATACTATGGTGGCCCTTCCCACCAGCAAACTTAAAAATTGCTCTTCACTATATACTCTGAAAAGGAACCAGTGACAGCTCTCTCTACCATACCTTGCACAAGCAACCCAGGGTAGTTGACTAGCCACTGCTGCGAGTCAGAATTAAGCACTAGAAGGACCTTCGAATTAATCCAGCAGCACAATTCTTACATTTTTCAGAAGCAATCTATAATTTCTCCCTCTAAGGTTTAAACACACATACAACCCTCCAAGCATTCTTCTTTCCATAAGTCTCATTCCCTCAGAGGATACAGAACTCTAAGACCACAATCCTAGATAAGTACAAGCTCTGTTGAGTACAATGAGACATTCTGCTGTGTAAACATACAAAGGGCAAAGATATGTAAACTGGTCCATGAAGTGGGGAGGGGAATGCAGAGTTTGTCAATACATTATTAGGATCAACCAAATGCCACAAAATAGTAAGCCAGCTTTTGAGTTTTCCAAAACTTTTAATAAGGCTGGATGTTAAGCAAAGCAGAAGGTTTGATGCTGAAATCAGAGAGCCTGCATCTAGTTCTAATCTTATGAAGGCACATAGAAGGAGTTAGCAGGCAATTTGATTAGGCTCTACTAAAGGACTATGCATGTTTCTGGAGTGCACCAACTAATTTCAAAAGAGCAGCAGTCTATGCATTATAGACTACAGTAAAGTCTTTAACTGTGGAGATCACAAGAAGCTATGGATGATCATGAAAGAAAGGGGTGTGTCTCAGCACTTGATTGTCCTGATGAGTAAACTGTATCCTGGACAAGAATATGGAAAAATAGAATGATTTTCTATAGACAAGAGCATCCAACAAGGGTGTATTTTATCTCCCCATTTGTTCAGTTATATGCTAAACAGAGCATAAATTAAAATGGATTAGGATCAGAAGAAGCAGAAGTGAAAATTGGTGGAATAATCAATAATTTAAGACATTCAGATGTGCCACATTACTGGCACAAACCACTAACAAACTGAAACAATTAATATATAAATAATAAAGTCCTGAAGAAGGTGAATGAAGAATATACAAAGGTCAACAATAAAGAAATTGAACTTGTGACAGATTTTTCATACCTTGGCTCAATCAACAATTCAAATGGAGACTATAGCCAATAAATATGAAGAGAATTGAGACTTGGATCGGCAGCAAGAGCCTCAAGAAAAGATAATCAAGTGCAAGGTCATTTCACCGGAGACCAAGAGAAAGATCATCCACCCTATTATATTCGTGATCATTGTATAGGCACAAAAGCTGGATAATAAGGAAAACTGGCAGAAAGAAAACTGTTGGATTTGAAACATGGTGCTGGAGAACTTTGTGAATACTCTGGACTGACAGAAAGACAAACAAGTGAGTCATGGATCAAATGAATTCAGAACTTTCCTTAAAAGCAAAAAATGACAAAACTGAAGCTACCATTATAAGTGGGCAAGGTTCACTGAAGAAGGCAATCATGCTACACTAAGTTGAAGGGAGAAAAACAAAATGAAGTCAAAATATGAGATGGATCAACTGGATAAAAGAAGCCACGGTCTTGAATCTACAAGCACTGAGCAAGGCAGTCAAGGCCAGGACATTTTGGATGGCATTCATTCATAGTGTTGCCAAAAGTTGGAGATGACTTGACAGCACATAACAGCAACCAAAAGAGTGGACACCTTCCCCATATAAATCTAGGGAAATGGATATGACTTAAGATTCCCACTGTAGTGCTTACCTCCCATTCTCATGCTCATTATTTGTAACTCCACACAATCTATCAGTCCCAGGTAAGAAGACGACACAATGATTCAGCAACACACCCTCCCAACTTTATTTGAGGGGGAGGCAATGGTCCACTCAAAAATTCCAAAAACTTTTCCAGAACCGTAATTACAAGGGACATAGCAAAATTCATAAATCTACAGACTCCCTGCCCGTAGCCTTCTAAAAATAGCAGACTAAGGAGATCTCACACACAAGCCGAGAGGACTGGGCACTGTAATACCGGCACTCATAGCATTGGCACCGTGAACGGGAAACCTTTCCAACCCCACCAACACTCAACTCACCCTCGGCGCCCCCCTGGGCCGCCTTCATCCCTGCAGAGGGCGGTAGGGTTGGAGAGGGCCCAGGCGGCCCCCTCCACTCTCCCTCATGAAGGAAGAATAACTGCCTCAGTCAGAGCCCTCTCTCGTTCTGAGGGAGCGGGACACAACCAACAAATATCCACAGCTTTTACTCCGCCACAACCGCCATCCCGCTCCCAACCGCACGAGACTTCCCCATTCTTCTCGCGGGATTCGAAAAATGTCAAGGGGCAAGGAGAATGAGAATCCCGTGAGGTAGCCAATCCAACAGCAGAAAAGTAGTACACTCTCGCGAGACTAGGATTCCCTTCCCTCTTAAAGGTGCCATGCTTTACGCTTCATAGGAACGGGAGGTTTATCACTTGTTTTAAATGTGGACGTCTTAACTTTTGTTTAAGGATAGAAATGGTAACAGTTTCCTCATGCTCACGTGGTGTTGCTATTGTTGTCAATAATGTGTTTATTAAGGGAAAAAAGGGGACAGCAGATTGTAAGTCTGCTTGTTCGTGTTATCAGTGGTTTTGTATGAATGACAAAGTGCTCAGAGCTGGTTTGTGACAAGCTTCAATAAAACGATGAAGAAGAAAAGCACAGAGATTTCCGGCCCTTTTTTATGATAGTAGCTTTCCCGTTCTGAAAATTTCCCAATAAAATTGGGGTTGTTCCTGTCTCTGTGTGGGCGTCCATCACAAAGTTTCGTTAAAGAGAAAGTCAGTTCCCGCGAGATTTTGAAGGCCACGATCTTGTGGACAAACTCGGAGAAAGAGAAATAAACCACCCCTTCTCTTCCCAGTCGCTTTCAGCGGCGGCGCCGCGAGACTTTGTCTATGTGTGAGCGCCTGCGCCTGCGCGCGAGGAATGGAGTGCGCGCGCACATGCGTGTTCTCGCGGTATTTGGAGAAACAGGAGCAGGTAGAGGAGTTGGGGTAAGGAAGCCCCGAGCGGTGGCAAAGGAAGCCACGGTGTCGGCGGACGGGAGGACGACGACGATCTTTTTTCATATTCTCGCGAGAGTTGGTCGCTAACCTTCTCCCCTCCTCACTTTTCTACCATCCTCTCCGTCGCCCCTCCCCCCCACCTGGAAGCGGCGCCGTTTCGCTCTGGGAAGTAGGTGGATAAGGATGGGGGTTCCGGTTGGGGGGCCCTGAAAAAGATTCAGGCTAGGGAAGGGACACCCTCCTCAGGAAGAACTCACTGGCCTTAGCCAAGGGCTCCTAAGGTTTTCGCACAGAGACAGGCCTTTGGGCGGGTGGAAGTGTTTACAGTTCCCCCCTCCTTCCTGAGGAACTTAAGAAGAGTTGGGGCAGTAAATTCAGTGCCCAGCTTTCTTATATAGAGACTAGGTCTTGGGTTAGTGGAACGGGCAGTCCTAATTCAAGGAAACCCCCTTTCTCAAATACGTGGGGGCTTTAGAAAGGAAGCGTTCATCTGTTTGAGAGAACCTTGCTTCAGAAAACGAAGTGAGTTGTGTCTCTTTCCAGAACCTTCTCCCCACCTTGGTGTGGGAAGTTCATTTACAAAACGGGGTAGAAATATATTGTTTCCTTAAACACTTAAATTGACACTCCTGCAGTGTTCATTTTTTGAAACTAGACATTAACTAAGGCCTAGAGTTAAAGAAAGGGTGGGTGGTTATTCAGAGGTGTAACAGCCTGCCTCTTTCATCCTACCCTTGAAGTCTGAAAGCAGGGGACATTCTGGCAAGAGTGACTCCCTTTTGAAAGGCTTGAGGTGGGCACTGTTCAGAGCCTGAGATCTGGCTCTGGTAATTTTTCTTGTAATATTCTAGACATCTTTATAGACAATTATAGAACAACGCCTTCATGCACATTTAAGAGAGAGGATTGGGTTGAATGTAGGAAAAAAGGCGAAAGGGAGAGCTGCCCTTCCATTGTGGGAAGAGGTGCCTTGAGGATTAGATTTTGGGGGTTTTGGAGAATTCCCCCCTCTTCTCAACCACAGTGGAGAAGGAATGCCAAACCCAGAGAGACATGGGGGCAAGAAGGATGTGGGAGGAGGGGGGTCCTTACATCAAGAAGCAATGTCCAGCAGTGGGAGCTCAAACAGCAAAGAGAGACACCGGCTTTCCAAGCATAAAAGACACAAGTCCAGGCATTCCAAAGACTCACCATTGGGGGTCCAAGAAGTAGGAGGTCCACTTGGCAGCATGATCAAGCCATTAGTGGAATATGATGACATCAGTTCTGATTCGGACACCTTCTCAGATGAAGCCATCCTCAAGCCAGAAAGGAGAGAAAATGATGAGAGAAAAGGGACATCAGAGAGGAGTGAACGGCTACATAGGCATCGTCATCATCAACACAAGCGAATCCGTGAGTTGATGAAAAGCAAGTTGCTGGACAAGGAGAAAAGAATGGACAGGAGCCAAGAGTCCTCAGGCAAATTAAGTTCCACTAAGGACAGGGTATCAGGGGCCTCCAAAAGGATGCATGAGGAAAATGATGACCATTCATCTAAGTCATTCAAGAGCAGTAATAAGGAGTCCCGGTCAGCCAAATTGCATAAGGACAAGTCCAGGAAAGAACGGGAGACAAAATCTGGCCACAAGGACCGCAGCAAAAGTCATCGGAAAAGGGATGCCCCCAAAAGCTACAAATCACTGGATAGTCCAAAGCGGAAATCTAGGAGTCCTCACCGCAAATGGTCAGATAGTCCTAAACAAGATGACAGCCCTTCAGGAGCATCCTATACTCAGGACTATGATATCAGCCCTCCACGCTCACACACATCCAGTAATTACGATTCCTACAAGAAAAGCCCTGGTGGGTCCTCACGAAGGCCATCAGTCAGCCCGCCATACAAGGAACCTGCTGCATACCAATCCAACATGCGTTCTCCTAGTCCTTATGGTAGAAGGCAGCGATCAGTCAGCCCATACAGTAGGAGGCGTTCATCCAGTTATGAGAGAGGAAGTGGATCGTACAGTGGAAGGTCCCCCAGCCCATTTAATCGAAGGCGTTCCAGCAGTCCTTTTATTTCTAAGCGATCGCTGAGTCGGAGTCCTGTATCCAGGTGCGTGGTCTTCATTAGTAAATCAGAAATATTTGATCTCAGTGGTACAGATTTTTTTTAATTAGATTTATATCCCACTGTCCTTCCTTTTCTTTTTTTTCCTTTAAAGAACTCTAAGTGACTTTGATCATTCACCACCTTCTGCTTAGTCTTATCCCCACAACAACAGTGCTCTGAAGCAGGTTGGGCTGAGAGTTTGTGAGTGGCCCAAAGTCAGTTGGCTCCATTGCTGAGCTGGGACTAGAACTCAGGTTGCCTGAGTCCCAGTTTGGTGCTCTTAACCAATATACCATACTGGCTCTCTAGATGTGACTAAAAGTGTTGATGTCCTAAAGTTGTCATTATCAGTGACCCTTCAGTTTAGATTAAAAATATTTAAGATACCTCATTTAGGATATAAAACCTCGCTTACTTTCATTGTAGTATTCCTTTGGCTTAGATCAATTCTATTCTTGCTTTATTGATTTAGGGATATTAGACTAAAATTCCAGTCATTCAGAGTCCATCATTGTAAGGTAGGCAGCCTGGTGCCCTCCAGATACTTTGGAATGCAACTTTCATAAGCATCAGCAAGTAGGTGTATGCCAAAAAATCTGGACGGCACTAGATTACTCACAACTGTGTTAAAATATAGTTTAGCATAGCAGAAACAAGGCACAGAATGCCTGGCTTGTGTGTTCTGCCATCTTCTGATATACCTGTAAAGAACAATTCAGAAGCTTTCATTTCTGGTGTTGATCAACTGCACTTGATCATATTGTCTGAAGCTGACACATTAGAAAAGTTTGCATGACTGAGAAAGGAAATTAAGCCACCTTTGCATTTTTCCCCAGCCTTCATCTGCTAGTTGCATATACAGGAATTACTGTAATTACTATATAGTTTGTTGTCTGAACCCAGTGAAGATGAGGGTCAGGCAGTTTTCAAGCCATCCCACAACCCTAGAACAAGCCATGGGTTCTATCTAGAGTAGCTTCTAAACTCACTCAACCCTCCCTCTTACCAGGTTGGGACAACACAGTAAATTGCATCCAGCAAAGGTAAGTATGGTAATTCAGTGGGATAGAAAAATAAGGCATAGTAGCTTATTTTCCTTCTCCAGTTATGTGAACCTGATCAGAAATTAAATCATTCTTAATTAACATTAACCATAATTTGTCAGGTTCAGATAACCACACTAATTTGATTAATTGAAATTGGAAGGAAATGCTTCAGAACTTCTCTTGATTATGCCAGAAAGGGAGTGGGGAACACAGGAGCCTAAGGTGGATCATTCCTGTCTTCCTAAACTATGCCTCCGTGCAACCATCCCTGACCTGGTGTTCTCCAGATGTTTTGGCAACTTAATACATACCTTTTATAAAACTACATTATATTGACTAAATAGGCAACCTTTATTTGTAGAGAAGTATTCCAACCTGATAGGAGTACTGAGCACAGTTCAGAGGAATGACACATTGAAATCAATAGCATTTAATATAAAATTAATATTGACGTCTCAGATTTTATTGTCCATAGTGCCTAATTCCATCAGGTTTGCATCTGTTACATGATTAACAAGTCACCTTGAATTGTGACTTTTATCAAAGTACCACTGGTTTCACTAGATAAAAATGAAATTCCTCTATATGTGTTACACACTGTGGTATCCCCATTATAACCTGAATATGAACTTGCGTGGGGAAATACTTTCGGCTGAGCAATGCAGGTCAGTGCCTCAGAAATCCCTTTTGATTACAGTTCATCATGTTTATGAACAATGTAAGTCAGGTATCCTAAATCTACTTAAATTTATCTTGTGGGCAGTGATTAATAATTATTGAGACTTAGGAGTTGAAAGAGGCCATAAATGTTGGTCATTCCTTGCTACTCCTTCATCAAAATGAATTGATGTGTTTTATCTTTCTCCTGTTCACCTTACTTAGAATGAGTTCTGACTTCATCAATAATTTGGCAACTGGTTATCAATTAATAATCTGAATGTGTGAAACAGCTGGTATTGGTCAGAGATCACTGTGGAGGCTAAGTTGACAAAAAGAAAAGACTGTTATCCATGACTGTTTTCCCACAGTTGCTGCTAGCATGTTGAATGTGCAAATTTGCCATTTGACTCTAATCTCTTTGTGTTCTGTTAAGTACCTACCACCCTGTGAATGCTAAACAAACATATAGTCATTATCTTGTCCCATGGCTGTTTGGGATATTTCCAGTACTCACATCTGCCTAGCCACAAACTCTGTGGATGGTTTTGGGCAAGTTTCTCTCTCTCTTTCAGCTGCCATTCCTATCTTTACAGTGGGAATATTGATAACTTTGGGAGAATGAATAAAATAATTAGTTTACAACATTTTGTGTCAAGGAACCATTTCAGAAATCATTATTACTGTCCAACATGCCTTTTACCTCGTCAAGTGTGACAGGGAAGAGTTGCCAGAGTTTCATGAGTTGAATTCATGGATCCTGTGATAAAGTGATATCAAGTTTGCATTTGCTGTGCTACCATGTGAAGTCTTCATCACTGAAAATTGCTTTTACAAATGAAGTAAACCAAATGCAGGACTGGTGATCCTTTAATGACTCACCAAGGAACAAGTGCTGACAGAAAACTCTATTTTGCATAGTGTCGTTTGCATTCTTCCAGTTGTTTTATCTTACAACTTCCCCTCAGCCATAGCATTGATAGTAGTGAAGGATGATGAGAAATGTAGGCCTGAACATCTGGAAGGCTGAAAGTTACCTATGATGGCATACAACATTTCTGAGTTTTAATGAAAAATAAACAGTAATATGAGCAGAATGCAAACATCACAGGGTATCTTAAGTGCTTTTAGGGAACTATGAACTACTGTGAAGATGACTGCTCAATTGAGCCATTGTAGTGAACTGGGTAGAGTTGGACAATAAGTGGACAATAAGAAGTATATATTCAAGTATATAAAGCTATGAAGGGGTATCCCATTCCTGTTTTTCATACTCTTGTTCACTTGGCTCTGCAAATAACTGCTGACTTTTTCTACCTCTTGAATTCCATTCATGATGCATGTGCTGTGTTCCACAGTTAAGGAAATCTTAACTTGATCCATTTCCCTGTCTTCTACTGAAATAGAATTTTAGTCCTCTTCTGTAAAAAGCAATTGGCCTTCTGCTTAAAAAATCCCCTGCAGTAGGGTTAAATAAGTACCATAAAGTGTATGGGAGCCAGTATCAAATGAGGTGTCTGTTTTGTAAAGTACTGATCCAATTATTAGGTGCCAGTGTCAGATTCCTAAGTAGGCAGATGTTGGTAAATTTCCCATTTTATGGCAGTTATATGAAGTTATATGGCAGTTACATGATTGTAGATAAGTACAAATCAAATGTGTTTCCCTGCGGGAGCATCCATCCACTGTGGAACCACAGCAAATGCAGGGGGATATATTAGACTACCTTCTTGGATTTCATGCAGTGTAAGTGAAGTCAGTTGTGCTTAGCCATCATCCCATCTGAAGTGTGCTCTGGAACATACCTATTACTGTGGCTGTGTCTTCCAGGGCATGATTGATAATATTAAACAGACTGTCTATTACCAGTCTATTCTGATAACTTTCTGTGGAACACAGTGTTAAAGATCACTGCTGGAGATGAAGTCTACATTTAGAAAATACAAATCAGATGCTATCTGTTGTCAAAAGTGCTTCTGCAAATAAAGAAAAAGATGTGGAGGCATTTAACTTTCAGTTCTTAATGTATGTTTTTGCTCAAACTACAAGGCAGGGACTTAAAGTGGTTTTGCAAACAGACTGAAAGAAATAACAAATCACCAGCTCTCTTATCTATCAAAGCTCCTATGCCTGGTTTGGCCAAAACTAACCTTACTCACCATGAACTACTGGGCAAGTGGTTTTTTCATATCTGACTTAGAACATCCTTGAGGGTGTCAGAAAATAAAGCCTTGGTGACTTACTATATTCATACAACATAACTCATTGTATGCTGTGAAGTGTGAGTTATTCATGGAATAACCCATAATACATCCAAGAGATAATCAGACTCATCATGGGTTCTTCCCTCTAAGTCCAGGATATTCCACAATAGAACCCTTGCATTCTCTCCTTGCTGTAATCACCACCATTAAATCTGCATTTGGCTGTGTCCAAAAAAATCAAACAAACCTTATTTGTCCTGTAAAAAATGTATTTTAAAAGGAAACCTGAGTTTTGACAGTTGTCCAAACTTAATGCTTCTGTAAATGGAGTATCTTGCAATTTTCCACTTTCCTGAGTACCTAGAGTTTCTGGAAAGAGTGGAAACGGTGGAGGACATTGAGAATAGTCAGGTAGAAACAAGCAAACAAAATCATGGGGGATCTTGCTGGGAAGGAGGTGATGCACATTGCTCCCATTTTGCCAACAAAAAAATCTCTTTGTGGCTTTGCTTGTGATTTGACCCCTTGCCATTTGACAACTGTCCAATGAGAAGTAAAGCGACAAATAATGTAGCATTCCTACAAGGCTGAGATAGTTCAAAGTTGCTTACCTGTGCACCTTCAAAGATCTGACAAAATTGAAAAAATGAGAACATTTGCACAAGTCTCAGGTACATGTTTTTTAAAATGTGGTGAAACAGACATAGATGCTCTAATGTGCCATTGCAGCACTTTGAAGGGGCTGTCACTTCAGAAATAATGAAAAACTATCTCCACAAAGGCTATGGAGATTACAAAAGTAGTTGAACTTGGTGTGGGAGAGACTGATTCAGTGACAGACCACTGGTGATGTGTCTGTCATTGGGAGAGTAGCTATCATTGGTGGTGGCCTGGACAAGCTCAGCAAAAGGGCTGTGCTGCTGCTATTGTATGACTTGTTTGTGTCTTCCCTGTACCCATGATAGAATCAGTCACCCACATTTGGACAGCAGAACTGTCCATCATGGATAAAACAACCCCAGAAACGAGCCATAAGCTGACAGGGGGGCTTGTTACCCTCAAAGAAACCATTCTGAAATAATTGATCTGGGTTTTCATGTTACAACAAACCGCTATGGCTAGTTACCCATGATGGGTTGCCATGTCCTGTGAACCTAGTTGTGATGTATAGGATGAATTGTTATTCCTGGGACTGCCAGTTATCAACACGGGATTGCATTCGGATTAGTGCCCCTGTCAAGGCACATTCAGAAAAGAGCCTGACCTTGCCCTGGCAACTGCCCATTTTTTTCTAAGAAAATCAGTCTTTATGTTTGCAGAATAAGAGCTGTAAGTAGTAACTCATCCTCAGAAACCCAACTAGCATTTCTGATGTCTGAAATAGTAGATATGCCTGTTATAGTTACTTATTGACAAATGAATCTGTACACAGATTAAATTTGGAGTGCCTGACCCAAAACTGAATTCAGTCCTGTTTACTAAACTGTATGATGTTTCTAAAACAGTGGCACACACTTGGTGGCTTCCTATAGTTTTCTTTTCTGCCTTTTGTTGTGTTTGCCCTCTTTCACAGCATTCTGATTCTTCTATAGCAGGGTGGATAAAAATGAATTTTTGTATCAAAAATTGATTTTTTATTTAAGTTGGAGTTTTAAAATTTAAATCAGATTTTTTGGTTTGGATTTTTTAAAAATAAAATGCTTTGAGAAAAATCTATGTAAAGATAGTTTTCTATTTATGATAAATTATAGTCCAGAAGTTATTCATCATGAAATAAGGATTAGTTTTTAATTATGCATCATAAGACATTCATGCAATGTTTTAATTTTTTGGTAAATGAATTCTATTAATCCATTCATAATCTCATGCTCTTCCAGAGGTTTCTGTAAGATTAATGGGCAGTTTTTCTATTTAGAAGGTATTATCACAGCTGCTTGATTTCACAAAATTCAAAACTGTGAATTTTTGTTTGCAGACATCACAGGCCTCTTCTTCACAGCAAAATGTTATAAAATAAACAGAGTTGAGGGAAAAAAATCCTTAATCCCATCGTTGCTTTGCAAATCTATGTACACAGAATCAAACCCTGTCCTCTTAAGTGCTTAATTTTAAAAAATCAATAGAAGATTTTTGGAAGTGGAATAGATCTGCACAAGAAGCTAAGTATGAAGAGGGAGGGGCAAGCAGTAAAAATGAAAATAAAACCTTTTGAGCTGAGTACTCTACAAGTCTTTGGATCTTTTTGTGTATAGCCTGAGATTTATCATAGTATTCTTTCCCTGGAAGAGAAAACCTATAAGGGCAGTAGGCTATAAAAGAAGACCCAGTTTGGGAATATTATAATGAAGTTCCTCTACCTACTGGTAAGATGGGCTTGTGTGCAAATTATGTATAAAACCATGATTTAAACCTCATCTTACTGACTAGTGATTTAAATCATGACTTGAATCAATTTAATTTAAATCAAATCCACCCTGTTATATAAGTTTGAGCTTAAAGTAAGTCAGCACTGCCCATCAGTTGATGATGATTATTTCATTTCTGTACCACCCCATAGCTGAAGCTCTTAATATAATAAATTCATTCTTAAACATTGAACAAACTAGGCATCTGCATTTGTGAGTCTCCGCAGCTATGCAGTCTTTCAGGAACAGATGCGGTGGTGGCAAAAAGTGTGCCTAACTTATCAAATTGTAAGTAATGAATCAAACAAAAGTTTTGCCAAAAGATTCAGGAGCTTACACTTCAAGCTACCTCTACTTCCCCTAACAACAACTTAGCCCTGGGAACTCAAACAGGAGAGCCTTCCTATGGATCTCCTATATACCAAGTCTTAGGTGAGTTATTAATGGCAGGTAATTCTATCACTCATTTGTAGCCTCTGAAAATATGTGACTGCATAATTATTTTCTGGACTTCGAATTTTGTGAGATTAACTTAATTTAGTTGATATTATTGCTAAACAATTATTTTGGATTGTAATGTTCCTGTTTTGGAATGATTGCATTGAAGTCAACTGACTTCTTGAGATCTGTCCCACATAAATGTTTTGCCTACTGGTGCTAGAACTGGGGTGGGCACCTGGCAACCAGTGGACATTACCTAGATGCAAAGCATGATTCATCTGACTCCATGGTACAGGGAAAGCTGAAGAGCAGCATGAGGCCCCTGGCTTGGATTTTGCCCATTCTCAAGGACCAGAAAATAACACAGACCATGCCTGGTGCAGCAGGTCTGAAAATCGCATGCCATTTAACAGCTAGGCAAGGAAACTTCTTGATGGTGAAAGAAGAGATACCTCAGAAACTTTTCTGTCATGATACAATGGCTGCAGGAACAGCTTAGGATAGGTGCCAGCTTAATTACAACAGGAAGCTGGGGAGCACTACTGATCCACTTATAGGTAGCTCTGCTCTTCAACTTCCCTCACAGCTATCCTTCTGATGTTCGTTTCAGAATTAATAGAAGGTCTCAGAATTAGCACAGAGGCCGCTGGTGCATACTCACCTTCAGTGCTGAGAGGATTTTTTTAGCCCAGGAAGATGCCTTGTTTCCAAAATGCAGGGTATAGGAATAAAATGATGACATGGCCTGGTACTTCTGGCCCCTAAGTAAATTGGTCAGAAGCCATTCACACCTTCAGCTGAAGAAGTTGGCCATCCTTGATTTAACAGATGGCTTAATGATGGTGTAATACTTTTCCAAAAAAAAGGCTTAGTATTACTGTGCATGGATAGAGGATGAGTGGGAGGTGTTCCAGGATATACACTCAGAAAATACTCACTTATTGAAGCAAATGAGGAAACCTGTTGTGAACTAACAGTATGTACTGCATATTTCTTCAGCTCTCAGAGCCAGAGTATTGCATTTTACATAAACATAACCAAAATCTTTTGGGATTTTGATTTTCTTGTTTTGTTTTGACAGAAAACCTGTGAAGTCACGAAGTAGAAGTCCTGCTTATTCAAGGCACTCATCTCATAACAAGAAGCAGAGATCTGGATCCCGCAGTCGCCATTCCAGTATCTCTCCTGCTCGCCTGCCACTGAACTCCAGCTTGGGAGCTGAACTGAGTAGGAAGAAAAAGGAGAGGGCAGCAGCTGCTGCTGCTGCTGCAGCAGCAAAGGTTGATGGGAAGGAAACCAAGGACTCGCCTAGCGTGTCATCAAAGAAAGAAAACAGCTTGCCTGACGTTAAAGAACCAGTGACAGAGGTCAAGAAGACGAAAATGGTTAAGCCTGAGAAGTGCCCTTCTGATGCTGAGACAGCAAATGTCCTACAGCACAATGCGGAGACAAAAAATGCTCCTGAGCCTGTAAAAACAAAGGCAGCAGAGAACTCTGAGAAGAAACTGCCTGTTTCAGTTAAAGACTCAAAAGCTATGGGAACAAAGGATATTAAACTTGTATCAAAGGAGGAAATTGTGACTCCAAAGGAAACAGAGACAGCTGAGCAAGAGGTCCCACCTCCTTTGCCCTCTGTTAAGTCACTACCTCCTCTGCCAACATCGTCACCACCTCCTCAGGCTCCTCCTCCTTTGCCTCCTTTGCCTCCTTCTCCAGTTGTACCCCCTCTGCCACCTACCCAGTCATCCACGATTCACTCCTCTGCTTTAGTTCCATCTTGTTTGCCATCCTCTGCCCACTCTAGGACATCTCTGACTACTCAGGCTAACTCTCAATCCACTGTGCAGTCATCCTTAAAGGTGCATGTTTCTGTGACAACCGCTGTTCATCATCTGAAAACTTCGACGTTGCCTCCACTTCCTTTTCCTCCCATTTTGCCTGGGGAAGATGATTTGGATAGGTAAGGGGCTATTTTACAAATGGCTGGAAATGTTATGGAGCAAGTTTGTTAAGAATCTGATGTACCTGCTTATTTTGCTGTTCCAATGCAAAATTTGGTATTTGCCATGTAATTTAGCATTTTGCAAACTCTAGAAGTAATTGAGAAAACCCCCACATATACTACAGTATAAATTAGGCCTCAGAGATGTGGAGTGCAGCTTTGAAATGTGTAGGGAGATTCCAAGGACATGAATCATGCAAGAAATGGGATGGACAGGATTGGCCATCCCTTGCATGAGATGTAGCTCCATGATAGAGGACCTTGAGCTGGAGAAAGCCTTAACCTAAAAGTATGACATCTGTTGTTGGTCAGGATAGTTGTGGATGTAAATGACATGGTGTGAGGCAACAGTAGTTTTCCTGTGCCTTGTACAGCTTGTTATACTTTGCACCAATAGAAAAACATCATGTTTTTGTGTTAACTTTGGTTCCTTGCTTATGGAACTTCATCTGTGTGGCTACCTCAATAGAAATGTCCAAAATTAGAAAGACATTTAAGAGGTGCACTGTTAAGTGTGCTGTTTAAGAAAATAGAGGTTTAAGAGTGCCTTGTGCTGCTGGGCTAATCTGTTTGTAACTCGTAGTTTGGCTCGTTTGCTTAAATCATCTGAATTGCTTTCTTAAGTTTTTTCTCCTTGGGCAGGCTATCATCCAGCATCTTGAACTGTAATTTGCTCCCAATTTGTTTTAACTAGCTATAATAGAATAAACCACAATTCACCAAGTTCAGTCATAATGGTAACATTCAGGGATGATTCTAAACAATAGCGTAGTGCTACATGAACAAGCTTCAGTCTTGCCCACTACCCTGTTTCCCCCATGACATGGCTGTAGAGGTCAGAAGCATCTGCGTTCAATTTCAGCTAATCATAGTGTCAAACACTGCTGTCTGAACAAGATCAGACTCTGTTAGTTAAAACCACAATTTATTCTGATCCATTTAAATAAACCAAAGTTTAACGGTAGTTCCCAGTTCAGACAAAACACTGTGGTTAGGTGAAAATTGAAAGAAATGCTTTTAGTCTTTTCCATATGCTGCATTGGAGGGGAGGGGGAGCAAAAGTGAAAGCAAGAAGCTTTCACACATATAAGCCCAGGGCTCAGAACAGCCTGATGATTTGTATGGGGTCAGAGCCTTTGCACTCATTCTCAAGATTTTAATCTTCATGTTTTTTCCCCTTTGCTCTCTTATTTTAGTCATTGTCAAAACATTCCTAAAGCTTTTCAAAGCATCTTGATATAAGTGAATCCAATTTAAGAATTGAATTAGCTCTGAACATAGAAATTGAGTTTCCTTTTGGTTCAGAAGCTGGATTTTTCTTTCTGTTTTGAGGACTGTGCACTGTGATGTCATGTGCATAGATGAGGTATAGCTTGCAGAGCACCCATTTTCTTCCCAGTCCAGCCACAAACCCTTGATAGAGTTGAAGAATTACTTGAAATAATGTATTACTAGATTCTATCCATATAGAGCACAAAGTAATTCTGCTCAGGGAAAATAGACCAATTTCTTCCAACTTGGAACAGTTTCAGTGCATGAGGTGGTAGGTAGTGGGGTGTGTGTGTGTTTTAATTTTTGGTAGGCTCTGTGGAAGAAAGATCAAGTCTTAGAAAAAAGGGAGGATAATGGGGTGAGGTTACTATACATGTTTAGTACTTGTGTGTAAGCAACTCTCCCACCTTTAGAGTTCTAGGTCTGGAACATAACAATGAAGTCAGCTACTTAAAACTTCTGTCCAAAAGAAGGGCCTTCTATCAACCTTATCAGCCTATGGAATTCACATCACCATTTTGATCAAACAGACTCTAGTGTATCACTGAAAGAGAGTCTGAAGGACAAATAGCTCTAGATGGTTCAGGCAAACAAGTCAAATTATAGACTACAAGGGAAGAAAATAACTTTAGAGTCTCTAGCCATTCTGGCTTCCAGAGAATTCCTGACCCCAAATATAGCAATTAGTTGGCCCAAAGTATGAGCAAGTAGGAGGTGCAGATCTGCAGTGTTAGTTTTCTGAACATGTGATACATGGAAATAGAGCAAGTCAGAAGGGGTCACCCAGGCCATCTTGTCGGACCCCCGTCTCTGCTCATGACATGCCTACCATGTGCATGTTGTTCATGCAAGATAATTCATAAATGCATGTGCATCCCACAGTGGCTGATAACTGAATATATGAAAAGCATTGTATAATTTGTCAGCTGAAAAATACAGAAAAAGGAGGAACTGTGGCAAAAGTAAGTGTACCAGAACTGAGGGAAGTGGGGAATAATATCTCACACTTGGTAATAAGATCCTCTTGATTTTAAGTGTTAAAACTAACATTTATTACTTTGTATACTGCCCAATATTCAAAGTCCTCTGGGTGCTTCACAACAATTTAAAACAAAAAGAATGCATAGGAATTCAGATAGCTAAAAGAACAGTATGTAAAAAACTAGAGTAAAATCTAGCAGCAGTACAGATATTTAAAATACAATAACAAATTTAAAACAATGTGAAACTAAAATTCCTGGAAGAGTTTCTGCAAAAATAAGGTCTTCACCTGGCACTCTTAGTAATGCAGTGTAAATGCTAGGCAAGCCTCCTGGGAAGATCATTCCATAGTCAGGTGCCACAACAGAAAAGACCCTCATCTGAGTAGCCACCCACCTGACTTCCTTTGGCAGGGTCTCCCACAGAAGGACCACTGAAAATAATCCTAGGGTCCAGGCAGATATATAAGGGAGGAGGTGATCCTTCAGATAACCTGATCCCAGGTTGGAATGTTAATACCAGCATGTTGAATCAGCTCCAGACATGAAATGGCAGCCAGTGTAGATTGTAAAGTACTGGTCTAATGTGATCACACCGGCCAGTCCCTAACTGCCTTGTTTTGGACCATTTCATGGACCATTTTCAAAAGCAGCCCCATGTATAACAGATCAGCTGATAGAAGGTTCTTTATGTCCACCAGTACTTCTACTGAAAGTCCAGGAGCACCTTCAGACTACAAACCTGATCCATAAGGTGGTGTGCAGCCTCCTCCAGAATTGGTTGGCTATCTCTTATCTGGGCAGGGAACCCATCTGCTAACAGTAACTCTGTCTTGTCACGATTGAGTCTCAGTTTATTGAATTATTTCAGTGTTCTCTAACCTTTTAACACTCCTTGAGTTTCCATCTACTCCAGAAGGGAGACAGTTTAAATTGCTTCATACACGCAATATTTCAGAACTCTTATTGATGTGATTACTGCATTTCCCTGGCAAAATCAATAGATTACTGGATATTTTATGTCCCAGGAATGTTCTTGTTTCCAGAAAGCAAATGGTAAGTGGCTGAAGCTTGGGAACATAATGCAGATGACAGAATACAATCATTTCAGGAGAGGACATTTGAGGTAGGGTCACTATCCCACACTACTTTTTGAGGGCTGACAAAGCTAGTAAATTGTCATTGCTCTGTTTGCAGGCTTTGAGATGCAAACAGTGGTCGATCACTCAAAATGATTCATTTTGCTGCTGTTTTTTCTGGTGCCTTAGTCCAAAAGAGATTATTCCTCCAAAACCTGTGAAGAAGGAGAAAGAGCAGAGACCACGACATTTGCTCACAGATCTTCCACTCCCTCCAGAACTTCCTGGTGGAGACCCTTCACCTCCAGAGTCTCCAGAACCAAAAGCGGCCACACCACCTCAGCAACCATTGAGAAAGAGACCAAAGTAAGTGTGGAATGCATCTGTTTGCATAGCAACAATTTCAGGATAAATTGTGGCCATTTGTGTTTGGCTAAGGTTGGAGGAGCTGAACGAAATCTGTCGTATAGCTGACCAAAGCTGAGTGACAGTAAAGTAGCCTGCCAGGTGAATGGCATTCAGTGGGAGGACATGAACGATAGTAAGAATTGTTCAAAGCACTTCACACTTATTCTGAGTCACTCTGCAGGGCTGTTGTTAAGGATAGCAATATAATTCTTATACTGTAGATGGAACTGACTGAGGCCAAGAATAACAATATAATATTTGGTGAATTCAGGGCAGGGACAAGATTTTAATAATGTGTCTATGCTAGTTATCTTGGGCTAACTGATAAATGCCTTTTAAAGCAGATAAACCTTTTTGTTTTAGCTAGTATTTGCAAGGCACTCTATAGTGGGTATGGATTTTTTTGAGTAATCTGAATTATAACATTAAATGTAATTGAAGCTCCTTCTTGATTTACTATCATCAGGACAAGACAATATATTCCTTCGGTACCACGCCTTTCATCCTCATAGGCTCATAAGGTGGTTTACAGTTACATACTGTCAAAAATACTGGAAAATAATAGAATGGAATAAAATCTTGGCATAGTATGCTAAACATCATAGTACCTTCATTGTATCTAAAAAGAACATAGAAACAGCATGAAGAGACAGAAATCAACTCATTGGAGACCTGGCAAAATTAAATAGTCTTACAGTAAAGCCAAAAGGGAGTTCATTCAGTGTAGCTTTCAAGAAAGAGCATTAAATAAGCAAAGTATCACTACTAAAAAGGCCTTGCTTTTAGTGGGGGCAGCCTCATTTTGGGATAAGGAGGGCACCTGTAGAAAGTCTCCACCAGATCCCTTAAGATGCAAAGGGAAACTGATACAGAAGGAGGAATCTCCTATCAACCTTCCCAGTTCGGTGCCCTCCAGCTGTTTTAGATCACAACTCTCAGCATTCCTAATCATTGGCCATGCTGGCTGAGGCTAATGGAAGTTGGAGTCTGGAGAAAACCAGGTTGTGGAAGCCTGCTGTATATAAATCATTGGGTATCCTGGACCTGACCAGGTAAGGCTTTAAAAGTTAAGCTTAATATGTTAAATTAAGCTTTAATTGATTAGATAGCAGCCAGTAAACATCTCACTAACTCTGGTTTCTCTGGTACCTGGTATCACGGATCATTGAAGGTGTGGGCATAGCTCAGTGGTAGAGCATCTTGTTTCTATGCAGACAGTCCCAGGATCTCTAGCTAGGGCTGGGGAAAAAACCCTGCCTGAAAACCTTGAGAGCCTCAGCCTGACTCTGTTGACAGTACTGAGTTAAATGGTCAATGGACTGATTCAGTGTAATGCATCTTCCTGTACTCTTCTGGCTGGTACTGGTAAATAACACTGTGCGTGAATTATAAATCTATAGTCGTGTTTAGATGGAAAAAAATGGGATATGAAAAAGGTTCACAAATGGGATCCGTTTCATAGCACAAGGTATCTTCAGGGGCCTTTTCTTCTTACATTGAAGATATATGAGCAGGAAAACTGCCCAGAGGAAGCAAATTGCACACATGAGGGCCCACTGTGGTGCAGATTGGTCAATCCACGTCAACATTTGGACTTTCTACAACTTTCACATTTCTCTTCCTAACTGTTCCCAGAATCTGTTGTCCTCGTTATGGTGAGAGGAGACAGACAGAAAGCGACTGGGGAAAGCGCTGTGTGGATAAATTTGACATCATTGGTATTATTGGTGAGGGGACTTATGGGCAAGTGTACAAAGCCAAGGACAAAGACACAGGTGGGTGTTCACTGTGCGTTATTATTCGTTTTTCTTCAGTAGCTTTTATCTTTAAGAAGCCCTACTATAAAATGTAGCAAATTGGCTTAGAAGAACTTCCAGAAATGTTGATTTGTATGGTTTTGTGCTAGGCATCTGTTCTCAAGTCTTTGTATTCTGTAAAATGTTCAAGATGATCCATGATACTCAACTTCAGGCTTTCTATTATAATAAGCTTTGTGAGGTATGTTACAACTGATACCCTAAAAATTTAAAAGGTACCTTATGGATCAGATCAAGGATGTATCCAGTCTAGTGCTCTGTTGCCAAGAGTGCCCATCAGATATTTCTGGGGAAATCTGAAAGTGGGGCCTTAAAGAAATTGCTGTGTCCTGTTTGTCCACAACATCTGTGCTATCTCTGTATATGGATGTTCCTTTTAGCTATTATGGCTGTTAACCATGGAAGGATCTCATCTCTTTTTAAAGCTGGTTATTTAATTTCTGCAGCAAATTAAATAAACTAGGCACTGGCTGTGTTTGTACAACATGAAGCCCCAGTGGCTTAGTCTGTTGTTTGAATTCAGGGCAATGCCCAGGTATTTTATAAACCACAGCTTATTTTAGGGTTTGCTTAAATACGGAGCCTAGACAGCACAACAAGCCAAGGTGAAATGAAAAGCCTACACAGCTGCTTGGCAAGAACAGCAGAAGGACTGGCCACTTTGGATAAGCAGCTAGTAGGCGACCACCAACCACCACAGAAGTGCTGTAGTACACAGTTAAGCAAAGGCTTTTCCCCTCCCTTCCCCACCATAATCATGAGCCTTTTTAGGCTTATCTTAACTTGACGACTTAAAAATACTGCTTTTGGTTTTGCTCCAGTAGTGTCTGTGGGATATATGGAGGAAGACCAAGGTAGGAAGTGGCTCCTGATGTGCTGGCCTTTGGGCAAAGTAGCTACTACATGAGGCTTATTAAGCCAGAAAGCTTAGTGTGTCACGCAAAGGCTCCCAGGTATAAAGAACCATTTCTTCTCCTCCTCCTCCTCCTCCTCCTCCTCCTCCTCCTTCTCCTTCTTCTTCTTTTTTGCTTTTTTCAGAATCTACCGTCAATCAGTGTCAATTAATGACCCCATATTTTGGGAAGGGTTTGTCCTTTTCCCAATGGCACACACTTTAGCCACTTGACTAATAGGGTAAATTTTGGCCAAGGGACAATGACATGTACCAAGTTATTCAGTGAATTTAGTGCTAAACAAAAATTTAAAACCAAGATAACAACATACTACTTTATCAGTTGTGCTGTACTAACTTTCAAAGCCTGTACAGTGGTCTGTGGTCATCCCTGGTTGGGTGGCATTGATCTAATCCCAGGCTATATACATACAATCCTATGAACAAACATGTTTGAGTTTCTTTTTTGTTTTCATTGAAGCCTAACGTGTATATAATTCAGGTGGCATGGCTTAACTTCTAAGGAGGTAATAGTTCTTGGGGTTATTTTACACTGTCAACAATCTTCTGGTTGCATTTGTTCATAAACATCTGTTACCATTGCCTTTCCCATTTCTCCCTCTCTCTATTATTCATCTCCTTTCTTCCTGCTCACTCAGTTGTTTGAATGTAGACTAAGTTTGCTTTTGCTTATGTTACATTATAGAGTTCCAAATGGGTGAGTTTGCATGACATGGCAGTTCACCTTGCAAAAAGCTCCACCATGTGGATTGTTCATGAAACAGCTGTCAGTACCTCCACCCCCTGCAAACACAACAACAACAACACCCCCCACACACACACACACGCACACACAAGGCAACTGGGTAGGAAAGAGTGGTTTGGTTCCCATTGGGGTCTCAAATCATATGTGATGCACTTGACACATCTTAGGATCTCTTGGCCTGATTGAGATTGCTGCGCAAGTATGAAAGCTACTTGATGAAGAGTTCTATTAAATGTGAAAAGTTCTGTGATCCAGAAAAAACTAATGTTGCTCTTATCAAATGTGCCACTGTACTGTACTGACCAAATATTCTGTGTGGTAATTTGGAGGAGGAGCATGCTTAAACAGACTGTTCTTTTCGTGGTTTCATTAAATTTCACATAGTTACTGGATTTTTAGGCGCTGTGATCTGTGTTTGATAGGTGAATTGGTGGCTCTTAAGAAAGTGCGACTAGACAATGAAAAGGAGGGTTTCCCCATCACAGCTATCCGTGAAATCAAGATCCTCCGGCAGTTGATTCACAGTAGTGTTGTCAACATGAAGGAAATTGTCACAGACAAGCAAGATGCACTGGATTTCAAAAAGGACAAAGGTACCCACTATCACAGAAGAATTTGCTCAGAAGTAAAATGTAAGGCCTGTGCTTCAGATCATGTAGCAGTGAACATTTTTTGCATACAAAAAGTTCCAGATAAAATATTGCTACCCAAAATAAATTATCTTAGCCAGGAGCACCAGAATGGCAGAGATTTATTTCTGCATGAAAACATGTTAGAAGTTTCCTCTGCATTTTGAGGGAGTGTCTCATGATATTTTGATATTTTTGTTTCATGCTGTTCTAGATCATCATCTACCAAGGTATCATAATCAACATGGTAAGATGAGAAATCCTGCTCTACTTAGAAAGGAAGAGCAGTTATTGGTTGGTTGGTTGGTTGGTTGGTTGATTTATCTATTGAATTTATAAACTACACTCAGTAGTCCCGTGCAGGACTCCCTGAGTGGTGTACAACCATGGTGGATGTGCTTCAGAACCTGGACAGCACTCCCATCTATTAAGGAGGTCAGAATGCTGAGGAATTCAGTATGATGATAATGATCTTGTGTAATTCCAAGAGAAGGGATAGGTTAGCACAGGGTCACAGTTCCCTCTGCCCCACTCACAACAATCTTGCTGGTGAATACTGGTCGGAAATAGGGAAAACAGGCTGAATTCTCCTTTTCCTTGGAGCAAAAGCTATAATACATTTCAATTTCCTACCTACGGCATGACCCATCTTGGAAATTAAATAGTGTTTAGACTGAAACATTTCCTCCTAGTGCTTGCTTGTTGAGCTCTTGTTGTTTTACACCCTCAAACATTTAACATTGTGTTTTTTCTCCTTCCAGGTGCCTTTTACCTTGTGTTTGAATATATGGACCATGACCTAATGGGATTGCTAGAATCTGGACTGGTGCATTTTTCAGAGGACCATATCAAATCTTTCATGAAGCAATTGATGGAGGGGCTGGAATACTGTCACAAAAAAAATTTTCTCCATAGAGATATCAAATGTTCCAACATCTTATTAAACAACAGGTAACTGCCTGAGTTTCTCTTACGCCATACCACTTTGACGTGTACTTTTGCATGGGAGACAAAAGTTTGATTTCTGTGAATTAAGGCCCATAACCTTAAGAAATGTCTCTTTTCTGCATTCTTCCCCATTTCCTGAAATCTGGGGGAGAAGCTCTGCTCTGTGTTCCACCCTTAAGCAAAACTGAAAGCAAGAACTGGAGCTAAACTGGATGTCCTTCAACAGGAACTTCATTTCCCTGATACTATTCCAAAAGCAAGAAAAATAGCTTTTTCTCCTCCCTTCCCTTTCCCTTTTTTCTGTTCTTTAATTGACCTATCTCAACTTTTTTGTTACAAATAGCACTGAAATGAATGAGTACAAATTCTCTTAGATAATTGACTGCTGGGCTTTTCTGCAAGGACAGTCTACAATTTGGCCCCCATAAATAGAGCCTGGTATTAAATACACAATGCAGGCTCATTACAAAATAAAGCTAGAGAAGAAGCAAAATAAGATCAGTGGCAGCAGTAGTAAACAAAGTACTCTGGTAAGTACATTGTTTCTCTAGCTTTATTTTGCTGATGGAGTAGCATTTAAGATTTCCCTGTTAAAGTCTGTGCAAACTAGTAATTTTAGTCTCTGATAAGGTTATTTGACATGTGTGTTCATCTTTTGATGAAATGATAGCATGTGTGCAACAGCAATTACAGGTAGGCAGATTCACATGACATTGACAACACAGCCTAGCAAACCAAAGTGGGTAGGTTGTTGTGTGAATAAGCAAAAGATCAGTCTCGCTGTAGGTTGCTTGCCCCCTCCCACCCCCCTTCTCCCTGTGGACATGTGGAAACGAGGCCAACTTGTCTCCTCCTCTATGCCACATTTAAAACTTGTTCTTATGAACATTCCAGTGCTAGGCTAAGGCTCATCTTTCTACCGAGATATTTGTGTGTGATTATTTGCCAGTGCAGCCAATTATTATTGCTGTTCATTGTATTGCTTTTAAGTTTGTTTGTTGTATTTTATTGTTTTAATATGATTAAGTGTCCTGGGAGGTTTCTGCATGAAGGGCAGGGTATAAACAGAACAAAATAAATGAACATGTCTCATAAATGAAAGCTTGTTCCCGTGTCTTGTAAAAGTTCTTAGGATTGGGACCAGATGCAGCAGCTACATCTCCACATCATTCTTCCTTAGGTTCCTTTACATGTTCTACTCTTTCAGCTGCTGTAGTGTTGTGTTTCCCCCTTACAGCAAAAACAAACAAAGAAAACAAGGATAGTGGGAAAAAGACATGGTGGTGGAATGGGGCAAGGGAGTATGACACTGCTCTGTTTCATTGACTGGGTGGGCACAGCATAACAATTCATCATGGGTGACAAGCCATGGTGCGTGTTGTTAGTACATCTCTTCCCCTGCCCCTTTTCCTTCTCCATATTTGGGCTAAATTGTAGAATCCCTGAACTTTACAAGTTACAAACAGCATTAAATCAAGGTAATGATCCCTTTGAGATAGAGGGATGGTGAAGTTGTGAAGGATTGAATCCAAACTGAAGCATCCCCTTCTTTCTCCCCTTTCAGAAAAGTTTTTACTCGCCCTCAGGATGGCTTCTGCTACCTAAGAGTAAGAGGGTGGGAATGTTGCACATGTCTTAATTGTGGGTCATTCGATTTTCATGTTGTCTCCTTCCAAGATCAAGGCACTCCCCTCAATCTTGTCTCTCCATGCTCTGAAATATCTTCTTCCTTTTCTCACTGGTTCTCCTTCTGGTTTTCATACCCTGAGTATCTTCACATTGTAACCTTGAAACTGCAAAGTCATTTGCCCACCTCTGCCCTCAGTCCATCTGGGGAGACTAACTTGAGAGAGCTGGACCCTCTCTGCAATGGGTTTTCACTGTTTTCTAGTGTGGAAGAAACTATTTCATATCTTAAGATCTGTACTTGAAATACTGGGAAAAACATTTCTGATTTAAATTTTGTTTTTTAAGTATTAGAGCCTATACCTGCAAGAGTTTAAATTGTAAGTGTGACTGTTTGCTACCTTTGTTAATTGCAATAACTTGTGTTCATTTATTGTTGCATATTTGTGCTTTTGTGAAAACCTTTCTTAATAAGAATTCACTGTCACTTTTTTGCAGTGGGCAGATCAAGTTGGCAGACTTTGGGCTTGCTCGACTCTACAGTTCAGAAGAAAGGTAAGATGTTTGGTGAGAAGAGGTTAGATGTGGATTTAGCTAAACTGCAGAGGGGCAGAACAAAGTGCCAGGAAGTAAAAATATAAAATTCTATTCCACATGTTTCATCCCTGTAGCATATATTTTGAGCCTTCTTGAGGGGCTGTAGAATACAATGCATTAGTTTTCATTTATCAACAAAGCATTTTGAAGTATCTTGTATGTGCTATTTCAGCTGTGCCTATATATTACATTTTAAGTGCAACCTCCAGAGAACTCTGAAAAACATTTATTTCAAAGATTCCTGGGGCTGGTGGCCTGATTAGCAAATTGTAGTTTATATACAGTCTCTTAGCTCTTCAAAGATGCAAGGGAACATCTTTATAATATTAGAAATGAAAAGAACAGGGCAGCCTCTTAGGCATTTTAGAATAAAATCACTCTAAGGTTTGGGGCATTACAGAAACACCACATGTATAACAAAATAACCTTGCTAAAAAGAGTTGATCTTAGGTATTAAAATTTTGATTCCTGTATATGATAGATATGTACACATTTCATGGTTGCACATATCTTTGTCAAAACCTCCTGTTATTTAGTCTTGCCAAATACCCTGTTTTAAAATAACTCCTTATGTTTGGCAGCTGTCAGAAGTAACTGCTCCTGTAAATGACACGAGCGTCACTTTTCCACTTTCCTTAGCACCTGGAAGGTGGAAAGGGCATAAAGAACTGTGACTCAGAGACCTTCTTGGAGCTTTGCTTTTCCCTGGCAATTTGCCATTTCACAGCTTATCATTGAAAGCAAAATAGTTTATTTGAAGACCTGCTTTGTCAATATCCCTAGATGATGCCTGCTTTGACAGCAGACACTCACCAGAGCATTGGTCAGGTGAGGCTTCACATTTCAGGTATTTGGAGTCATGCTCTTATGCAACTCCATATCATTGTCCAAAAAATTACTAAAAACATTTGCACACATTTCTCATGTAAAAATAAAGTTGACATACCAGTGACAGACACCCCAGTATGCTATTTGAACACTATGAAGGGGCTGTCTCTTCAGATACCAGCTAAAGGACTCTGTAAGAAAAAAAAGAGCAAGGAAAGCTGCAGTGAATGAAAAATGAGTTGCCAGTGGAATGAGGAAGAATGAGTCATTGATAGTCACTCCAAAATGCCATGGGCACTTGGTAAAGGAATTGTATTTGGTGGTACTTGGTCACTGCTTCTCATAATCCATGATAGGATTGATTATCCAGGTTAAAATGTCATTGCAATCTGGTTTGTGTTCAGCAATCCCTGAAACAAGTCATGTTAGGGAAAAACAAGCCATGCTATGGAAAGTATTGCAGGTTGGTGCAGCATGGCAGTTACCATGACTAGTTACCCACAATGGGTTGTCATGTTGTGTGAACCCAGTCAGAGGCATTTATGAGGCTGACTTCCAATACGCAAGTGTTCTTACCCACCTAAAGTGTTCTGAGATCTGTGTGTCATCTATCCCCTGCATAGCAGCTCACTCTTCAGTCTACATTAGATAGCTTTATCAACAGGGCGGATATTAGTGATATTTCAGGTATCAGGGTTGTTTCAGAATGATTTGATTTGGTAAAAATGCTGATTCTATTGAAATTATATTAAAATGCTTCTAACAGTGGTTTTCACAATATTATTGAATGTTGTTCCAGTAGCGATCATGTTTTTAATATTCTTAAATGTCACAAAGCAGGATGTTACTCAAAGAATAGCTAAGAGTCCTCATTCTTCTTATGAATGTGATCATTACCCCTACCCCTGGAAAGGAAGACTTGGGCAACTCTGGTTTTTAAAATAGTGATATTGTCCATCAGGGTGTGATTTTTGAAGGTCATATAGTGGACAGATTCAAGAATATGTTAATCTACAATATATTTTGAAATAAATGACTGACTGGAATCATATGAGGTTAACCCTAGAAGACTACTGGAATCTCCATGTAAGGGCCTAAGTTTCCCATAATTCACTGTGTTGCATATAACTCATAGTATTCTTTAAACGTTACATACTCCAGTATCCACATAAAGTGTTTTTTAAGCAGTATCAGAGACCAAATGGTATTCTCAGCATTGTTTGTGAAAGCAACTGTGACACAGTTTTGAATAAAATGTTAAGACTTTCCATTTTATAGATAGAGCATGTTTTATTATAGGGGAGAGATTTAAGGTATCCAATCCAAAACTACTACTCTCTTTTTCTCTAAGGCAGACACTGCCACCATGGGAAAATGGCTCTTGTAAAGTTCAGTTCTTATAGGCAGTCCCCAGGTTAGAAACAGATTACATTTCTGAGAAAACAAATCCACCTTAAGTTGAATTTGTATATAAGTTGGATCATGTTTAGTTGGCCCACCACATTTGTGGGAGCTAGGGGCACAGGACTCCTGTGAAAATGGAAAAAACACAACTATCGCTAGCCCTCTCCACCCAAACTCACAAGTGCCTTCTCTTTGCAGCAAGGAAATGCCAGAGAGATTTCCATCTCTGGATGTGTGGGGCAGAAAGACCTGCTTTGAAGGCCTCCTTCTCTACCCTCTTACTATTTCTCCCTGTGGTGATGCTTTGGAGGCCTTCCCTTGCTTCCTTTCACTCCCCCCCCCCTCTCTGTGCTGATGATGATTTCCAGCATTATTTTTTAAAAATTTAATAGGTTTTACGACAGTTAATTAGTAAGTATGGGTTGTTCATAATTTGGATGTTCACCGCTCGGGGACTGCTTGTATGCCTAAATTAAGGGAGCCTACTTAAATCCAAGATGGCAGGGTTTGGTGCTTTATCCTTGCATCAAAATTCATTTCATTTCACCATTGTGATTTCTGTATGTGTGTTCTTATTCTTCTCAGAAATGTCTGAAACCTAAGGTGCTACTTACATTGTTTTTTTTCCCTTAATTAGCCGTCCATATACTAATAAAGTCATTACATTATGGTATCGACCACCTGAATTGCTGCTAGGTGAAGAGCGTTACACACCAGCGATAGATGTCTGGAGCTGTGGGTGAGCCAGTACCTTCTATTCTTTCTGTCTTCTGATATGAGACTGTGGCTGCTAGCATCATGACTAAATGCTTCCCAGATGCTGTGCTTTTGAAGTAGCTCATGCCTTTGTGGGGGTTGTGTGCACTATCAACTAAAACCATTTTTTAAATATTTGGCCATATTATGATTGCTGAGTTGGCTCATGCATTTGGTGAAGATTAGATGACCATACTGTAAGCCAACTTGCACTGCAAGTGTGGCCACTAATTTGTGCAAGTCTCTGTATGTATAAAACTCCAAGTGGAGTGTTGGGTTTTTTTGCTATTTGATGTATCCTATTTTATTGTCCCTTTTAAAATTTGAGAGCCTGATCCCTTGTCACAGACATATTCTGTTCACTGTTTCCCTCTGCTGGAGCACTGAGGAATTCAGCTATACAGCTGTATGATCTTTATTTTCTGTCCTGCTCAGAGGTGGAAAATGCACCATACTTCTTTAGTAGGAATGAACTTCCTGGCTACTTCTCTTCACAGGCTATTAGGCTTTCTGAATATATTTATAATAGTCTCTTCCTTTGGGAGTGGTGAATTGTAACAGACTTAGCTATTCCACAAGTCAATCTCCCTTGGAAAAGGATGGAATTGTAGAATTTTTGCATGCAACTCTGGCTGGCCATCTCCCAGGGCATAGTTTTCTGTATCTTTAATGAGCCTCCCAAGCAACCAAAGAGAGTCCCCCCTGCTCCCCCACTGCTCAAATACTCCAATTTCTATGACTTGTTTAAATGTGTTTTTCCCCACTTTCCTTCCTAGCTGCATCCTTGGGGAATTATTTACAAAGAAGCCTATATTTCAAGCCAATCTTGAGTTGTCCCAGCTTGAATTAATAAGGTAAGTATTCTAAGTGTTATGGAGACAATGTGCAGAAAGCTGTTTGAGTGTTACTTGGCAATGCCAGAACTTGTTTTGAGGGGATGGAATTGCCCTAAAAGTTGGTGTGCAACTTTTTTGTGACTAAGACTTCAGGTAGTTCTGTGTCTGCATATCAGATCTTCGTAAGAACAGAAAATAGCTGCTGGTTACTCATTTTATTTATTTATTTAAAGCTTTTTAATACCGTCCCATCACAGATGTCTCAGGATGGTTTACAACAATATGGATGGTTGTTGTAAATGTCTCATAAAAGAAACATGAAAATATAAACAGAGGTGATCCTTTCAAACCAGTTGTCAAAAACAGAAGAAAAATCCTCCCTGGTTGCTCATTTAAATTGCCTCTAGATTAAAGATGGTAATTGCTGTGGGAAATGCCATCAGAGTAATTTAGGTCCCACAGATCCCTAGCTCAACATTTAGCATACTTTTTGAACTTGGGCCCCCAGTTTTTAAACCACTTGTAGTGACTTGGAAAATAGAGAGTTTGTGAACCTGGCTTCCCTATAATCTATCAGCTTTCTCTTCAAAACCCATGTGCACAGAATCCTTTCTACATAACCCATTCCTAGGTGCAAAAAGGAGCTATCGATTGGGGTAACAATCCAACACTGATACCATAGGACTAGAACATGGCAACTCATATTCCCTGTTAAAACCAAACAATCTGGGAAAGAGGCAGGAGTTTGAAACAGCTGTTGTTCAGTCTCTAGAGTTAGCATAGAAGTTTGTGCAGATGCAACACAAGGAATCTGCTGCCGGGAAGAAAGTCCTTCTGGCTTCGCTAATGGAAGGCTCTTCTTCCCTGGAACTTCATGAGGCCTGTGTGGGTTGGTGGAAGTTCTGCTGTGGCTTGAGAGCCCATTTGCTTTAGCCCTTTTGGATTCTTCATCTCTTGGTGTCTTCTGTTAGCTAATTTTAACTCTCAGAGAAATCAAGAGCAGAAGTTCATCACTGTTTGCTTGCAATGTGCACTGTGTTTGCAATTTACTGCAAGGGAAAGTATATCACTTCCATTTTGTACAGATGGGTGGGAATCCTCCCTGCTCTGAATGCCAAGAGGTAAGACGACCTCCCTCCTAGCAATGAAAGGCGTAACAGCCTTCTTTCTGTTGCAGTGCAAAGATACCTAATGGAAAGTTCACTTCTGTCAACTGAAATGGATTTTAATTCTGCTCTTTTTCACCCATGCCCTCACTGTTGCAGTTATTTATAAGAATGTTTGGGTTGTCTTAAAGTTCATTAAAGTAAATCTAGTATCACTCAAGAATGTTTAAATGCACTCTGAATGTTTTTTCTTTATGAGATGATGAATCCTTTTCTTAGCTCTGCTATATAACGCATCTTGGTTAAAAGTATGCAGTCATCATGGGAGTCCTTAAAATGTCAACGAAGCAGCCATTCTGTATGGTTAACTTAATCCGGTTTAGCAGTTGAGGGAATTTATACAAGCTGTTTCCTCTTGAAATACTTGATGTTTTGGCCTATTTTTATATAGATATGTCCTTCCTTGCTATGAGGCCCTGCCTGGTCAATCCAGGATTTCAGGCACCTTCACATAAATGATAGCATACAACCCATTCAACCTTACTATTTGGGAAGAGAATTGGAAGTGGCTTATCTTTGCTCAAACACCAGTCAGTGACTTCTAAGTCCATGTGGCTGGAAGACTAAATGTTTAAATTACATCATTTTAAAAGAAGTTTTATTTCATGTTGCAGTTTTTAACTTTTGTAAACTGCCAGTAACTCCTAGGAGATACAGTGATATAAAGATACTTTAAATAAATAATAATCTTCATACACTCTTTCTTTTGCTTCTCTTGCAGCCGTCTTTGTGGAAGCCCCTGTCCAGCTGTATGGCCAGATGTCATCAAATTACCTTACTTCAACACCATGAAACCGAAAAAGCAATACCGAAGACGCCTGCGGGAGGAGTTTTCCTTGTAAGTTTGTTTGAGCTATCTGGATGAAGGTTTAGCATGGTGTGCCTACCAATCCTTACATTTTGAAAATATCACAAAGCACAGGATCTAATCCTTAATCTCGTTACGCCAACCTTTTTGAGTGAGAAGAGACTGCAGGGCCCCAAGGAATGTTTGAGGAAGACAGCTGTCTCCACACACAAGAGGCCTCCCCCTTCCTCAAGTGTTATTACACAGAAGAGGTTTACAGGCTGTTTTCAATCACTGAAGACTGTAGGACTCAAAATAATGACTTAACAGGAAGCAAAATCTCCTAATGATCAGAGCAGTCAGACAATAGAATGAACTGCTTTGTGAGGTTGTGGACTCTTCATTGCTGGAATATTCAAGCAGAGGTTAGACAGTAATCTGTCAGGGTTACCTGCCCTGGGCAGGGAGTTGAACATGATGGCCTAAATGACCCCTTCCAACTCCTTGATTCTATGAGTCCTCTCAAGTCTGGGGATAGAAGCCAGCCTTAAACTATAAACTTGATACCAGTCTATATCCAGGAAGTTTTAGGAAGAATGGGCTCCAAATTTCCAGTTCGAAGTTAGCAGGAGCCCTGAACAGAAACATTCATTCAAAGTTAATACTGCATGTTTTTGTTATAGAGACTTTTGTGTCATTGCCAATGTTACTAGACTTACCATAATTTTCATTGACTTCTGCTGTGTCCTGAACTGAAAGGAAAGGCTACAATAAATGAAAGTGTTGGGTTCAAATAAGTACAAGTTTTGTCCAATTTTCCCAAACCTAATTCCTATATCAAATGCTAAGAATTTTGCTTCTTTTGTAATATGATAAAAGTGTGAGTGTGCATGTCATGATCATACCAACCCCTGAAAGTTAATGGAAGTCAGATCATCCAGAATGGCAGCAAGTTCAAAAGTCCAAGTACTATGAGTATACATGTGTTCTCCTTTCCCTTGTAAATAACTCTGGATGACAGGACATGCTTGGCTCAGCAAAGAAACAGGCAGGGCCATTCTGCTCTGCAGATGATTTATGGACGGCTTAATCCGGGAACTGTTTAGATCAGTGTTTCAAGGTTGGCTAATCCTGCCTTCAGTTAGGAGTGGTGCAGCTCAGATCATTGCTTATTATATGAATGTATGAAGATGGCATGAGTTAGACAACTGGTCTGCTCAGCCTAGAAATGTCTAACCTGACTGACAACAGCTCTACAGGCCCCTCACTTCTCTAGTGAACCTTTTAACCCTAAATGTTCAGGGTTAAATCCAGAGCAAAGGGATTCATTTTCTAGAAAGCATGCACAGGATTGTAGCCAGGTTTCCCCCATTCACATTTGTGCTTAGATATAAGAACACACTGGGTTGTGTTAGACAAGCCACTGTCTCAGTCTCATCCCCAATAGAAAAGTAATAATACTAGCCTACCATACAGAGTATGGTACAAGAGAATTATGATATAATTTATGCAAAATGCTTTCAGCATTTAGGAAAAGTACTGTGTAAAGTAACAGTGCTTCTTATCATAATCATAATGGGAACTGTGTGCATGTTTCATTTTCTCTCTTTCTTCCCAGCATTCCTTCTGCTGCTCTTGACCTGCTGGACCACATGCTGACCCTAGACCCCAGTAAACGATGCACAGCAGAGCAAGCCTTGCAGAGTGACTTCCTGAAAGATGTTGATGTTAGCAAAATGGACCCTCCAGAGTCAGTATCCCACTATTCTTCAAGAAAGGGAGCCTTGGGGACTAAAATGTAGTCTAGTCTTTTAAAGATGCCAGGATGGAGGGTTACTTGGATTTATAGCAAGAAAGCTCCAGGTACATAGGTTTATCTAATACAGACACTTGCATATCTTGAGTCAGGGAGGAAACATGGTAACATTAACAAATGATTCCAGAAGAATCAAACAAGTTAGATAAGCCACATATAACAGGGGAAGGCAACTCCATCCCAGGACTGGAAGCCAGTTTGAGGGAGGAAGTGAAGAACTGCATCTTTAATGCAGGTCAGCCCCATGAATGCTCCTTTTTTTTTTTTTTTTTTTGACATCTTCCCACAATACCTATAATGCAGAGGTAGGCAACTGCATAAGATCTGGGGGACATTTTTGCCCCCTGCTGGCATGGAAAACCACCTTTTCTAGTGTAACAAGCTAATTTGACCCTTTGGGCATTATGGAGTTGCTATGGACACTATAACACAAAATCCCTGTTTCTGGATTTTGCAGGTAGATTTTTCTTCACGCAGACTCTGTGCTGCCCACCCCTGCTTTAATGCAAGCAAGCTATACTAAGGCAGCCTTCCTCAACCTGGTGCTTTCCAGATGTTGGACCACAACTTCCAGTGCCCCTAACTGGGACTAATAGGAGTTATAGTCCAAAACACATGAGGACACTAGGATGTGGAATGTGGTACTTTAAGGATACTTGGTTCTTGTCTCTGCCTGCTCCATTTATGTGCAAAGAAAGCCAGTGAACACCAGTCTTTGCACACCTTAGCATACCTGTAATCGGCAATGCACCCAAGGTAATATAAGCCTTTGGCCCAGTTCACACAATACAAAAGTGGTTAATAAGTCATGGTAAGCCTAATCTTTGCATCAATCTTATTTGCAGGCATCCCCAAATTTTGTCTTAGCTTATTAGCCTGCTTATCCTGCTCCTCTTTTAAGCCCTCTGATATGCACAGAGGACTCATGGAATGGGTCTTTTTATCTTTTCTCTTGGGCTTTGGAGAAGGTAGAAGTAGCAGAGATCAGACTGCTTCTGCCTTTCTTTAAAAACCATCATTAAGTGTGAGAGCTACTTCAGCTCTGTTGACCATTGCTTTCAAATGGCTTTTACTCAGTATACTAAAAGACACTCCTTCACTCCCAGTTCTCTGTAGTTTTCTGGAAACTTAGGAAAGAGAGGGAATCTATGTGCTTGTCAACTGGGATGGGGATCACTGAATGGGAGGAACATCTCCATTAGCAGCTGATTTAAGAATTTGTGTTCTGACCTACTGCTATGACTTCATTACTCCATTCCCAGTAATGTCCATTTACTGTCTTTCCAGCCTCCCTCACTGGCAAGATTGCCATGAACTGTGGAGCAAGAAACGACGGAGGCAGCGGCAGAGTGGAATTGTGGTGGAAGAGCCTCCCTTGGCAAAGGTTTCTCGGAAGGAAACAGCCTCCATAACGAGCACAGATGCCATCAAGAATCACAGCAGCCCAATACAGCCACAGCCTGCCCAAATCAAAACACAAACTGGTACTGGAGACACATTTGGTCAGTGTATAATCTGGGATGATCTCTAAAGCTTTAGTTAGCTGAAACCTTATTACGTGGATTCTGTTTTGCTGGTTGTTCATTTTTATTGATTGTTTGGTTTTTGGGTAGGGGCTACTGAGTTAAGCTGTGTAAAGAAGAGATGATACAATACTCTAAAATGAAGTTCTCCAGAAAGAAACAGTGGCAAAAGGAGTGCAGCTGTTGCATCTTGGAATTAGAAAAACAGAAACTTGATGCAAGATCAGGATTGCAAGGAGTTGAAGCAGTGGCTAGAGGTGGATACAGTCACCTGCAGTGGTAGTAGGGCTGGTACCCAGTTAATCACTAATCTTTTTAATCAATCAGTTCAATCTATTTATTTAAATATATCTGCATATTACCAGAACCTCTATTTCAAAAAGCCAGCTGTGTCAAGGAGACTGTTTATTAAATTATAGACTACCATTCTTTAGAAAGAAAATCCATCTTTTAATATTTTCTCTTTCTATTCCCTATTACAGTGACACACTGGAAACAAAATAGCTATTAAAAATAAGCAGGTTTGCCTTGCTAGTTTAGTATTAGCCCTCATCAAATAATAAAATTTATATTGAAGAATCTGTTGAATAAAGCTTGAAGCTCTCTCTTAGAATTCAAACACTCTTAGTTCTTCAGCTATAAACAAACCATTGCTTCTCTGCCAAGACCTCATTACATTTGGGTACTGTGGGTAATCTGCCGTTTCCTTCATCTGTCTTGCAAGGCATATGCACATGACTCTCATCAAGTGCACTTTAGGTTTATTCAGGGAGGCAGGCCTGATTTCTGTACTGTTGCCCCATCTGTTGTTCTGGAAGGCTTCTATACTTGATCCTCTGCAGAGGAAATAGCTGATGGCATCTTGAGAAGTGATAAAGTTAGTCCTACCTGGGACCGCAACATTCTTTACAGATTCCCTCTTCACTTTAATTTTTTTCCCTCTTCATGCAGTTCAGAGGAAATGGTGCCACACCATGTTGGGTGTCAACTTCTAAGTAGGCAAAGCCTATGTACATACACGCTCAATTCCATAGAAGCTTACTGCTTTCCTTTCTCACATATCTACGTGGAAATCAGGAGGGCACCAGGGAAATAGCCCAGCCTCACTGCTTGTTAACCTTGTGGAACCCCCTTTCTGTATTTAACAGGGGATCTGTTTAGTTGTGTGTTTACTAAATGGAACTAAGCATGGCCTAGAGTTTGTGCAGCATAGCAAGAAAAGAAAGGCATCATCCAATTGCAGCTTTATTTATACAGCTTGTATACTAAACTACTAAAATCTCTGAATGGTAATGATGGTAAAGAAACAGTAAATATGGTAACAAAGAATAAATTTATTTATTTATTTATTTAAAACATTTCTATGCGGCCCCCATCGCAACAAAGCCTCGGGGCGGCTCACAACAAAATAAATAAAACAGTATGGCAAAGAGTGGGCAAATGTGTACATCATAAAAATCCATCTTGCCAATAACCTATACAGGATGAGCTGTTTGTGAAACAGCCCATGATGTATCTGACAGTTGATCAGCCTTCCAAGGGCAGTCTCCCCACTCCTTCCCTTTTGGTCTTCCTGTGGGTACCCTAGGGGACCCAGAGTCAAGGACCCATCTTGTCTGTCCTCCCAAGCATGATTGCAGACTTTTCTGTACTTTCTGCAGCTTTTTTCAACCCTTTTCTTTTTTCAAAGATTGCCTTTTGTGATCGCTAATTTGACAGCTAGTGACAGTCCTTTGAAAGTGCACAAGTGGCTCATTGAAGGGGCTACCACTGGCTTTTCACTCCTTTGAAAAAGATGCACCTCAAATGTGCACAATTAATTTTCTTGTACATGTTTGTACTTCTGCTGGCCCCAGATGGCATTTCTTGCCTGGGCAATGCGGTAGGGGATACATGCTGTCAAAGTGCACCAGGTGCTCCTATGGATATGCATCTAGATAGGATGTCAAGAGCTTTTGTATGACTTTGGTTCTTCTTGACAGCTGTCAGAAGAAACTAAAGCCTGGTGTGAGCTTTATTTGCAAAATGGGGATGACCAGTAGGTCACCTTCTTTACAGTGAGATCCTCAAGGGGGTTCTTTTTTTTAAAGATTAGATTAGGTTTTGGTTTTTTTTAATTAGAATAGTTCTTTTTTTCATCCAAGCCCTCTTTGCAGACCATCAGTCCAGGTTCACACAATATGACAACCACCCACTAATTCTGGACTCAGCTGTCCAAGTAGGAGTGGAATAATCAAAACAGAATTTTTGTTTTAACTGGCACTTTTGTAAGCTGTCCTGGGAACTTGTTAGAGTGGAGCATAGATCCCCAACATATAGTTTTTCCAAAAAGCTGTTCTACATATGGTTTTGCAAACCACTGAAGAGGTTCAGGAGACTCAACACGGTCACAATTCCACTAACTGTCTCCTGGTGTATTTATTTATTTCTACACCATCCGTCAGCCAAAAAGGCTGTCTGGACAGTTCATAACATTCGTGTGTCATCCATCAAGGTGACAAGGCAGAAGTAGCAAATGGTCTGAGGAACTCAGCCTACTAAAGTAACAGGTGGAAGCCGGAAATAGGCTCATCTTGTAGGCACTCAAAACTGGGTTGATTCTAGACAACCACTCTTCCTGTATCTGTACAGGAGCAAGGCCACTGCTCTGCACCTTTCTTTCTCATCTCCCCATGTAGATTCAAATCCATAAGGAAGGGTATCCAATGAGTTGCCAGGTTTTTGTGGTAATTTTCTCGTGTGTATTCTGAATACACATAGAAGGCTCACCCTGTTTCTATCCTTACATTGCCACGTCCCTAAGGAAAATTGTATTTGCTGATTTGAGAAATAATCTCTTTGTGGAAAAGGGAAACTTTTATCTGAAAGTATTTTGGGATGGGTGGGTACAGTTGCAAATGGACTGTCTTCTGCTATTTCATTCCTAAGGCCCTGTTACTGTTTTCTCTCCCTATTCCCCTGGTGGTCTTCTTTCTGCTTGCAGCAGGCCTTGGTGACATCACACAGCAGCTGAATCAAAGTGAGCTGGCTGTCCTGTTGAACTTGTTGCAGAGCCAGACAGACCTCAGTGTCCCACAAATGGCCCAGCTGCTCAACATCCATTCAAACCCTGAGATGCAGCAACAACTGGAGGCTCTCAACCAATCCATAAATGCACTCAGTGAAGCCACCACAACCACCACCACCACCACCACCACGCAACAGCCACAAGATTTTCAAAATGTGCCCAAAGAGGAGACAGCTGTTGAGGAGCCGCCACCGCCACCAGCAGCCCAGACATCTGAGGAGCAAGCCACGCCAGAAGCAGCCAGCACTCAGGGAGATATGCAGAACATACTGGCCGTTTTGCTGAGCCAGCTCATTAAAACCCAGGAACCTGCAACAAATGTGGAGGAGAACAATAGTGAGAAGAGCAGTGAGCTGCGTGGGGCACGGAAAACCCCCACTTTGCCTCAAGAGGAAACTTCAGGTAAATAATTGTGGCACACACCCCCTTGCTCCTAGGACTTAACGGGGGAAATGATGTGGGGCTTTCCGAGTGGTAAATAAAAAACACTTTGAATATTCTTTAACCAAGCCTGGTAGTCTTCTCTGAGTGTGTGTGAAATATAGCAAAAGCTATGAGTTCCTGAGAATGCTTGTTGTAAGTCCTTGAGCAAGTTGTGTACCTCATTTGTTAAAAGATAATAATCATAAATAATTCATGCAGTATTTTTCAGGATGTGCGATTATGAAGCCCTGTGCAAATTAAAATGGTTATCTAAATAAGAAGTAGTGGCAGGAAGTTGTACTAACAGTAGCAATAGAAATAAACATCATACAGAGTTGGTTCAAACATTCAGATAAACCCATGGTGCAGTCCTCCTTGGATTGTACTGCCTTAGAATGCGGATTGGGGATTGACTGTTGAAATGCTCTCCCTTGTCAAAACTTTCATGCACGTAGAAAGCTAGGCTAGAGCTGTTCTGGCCATGCTAACATTCATATATAGAGGGAATGCATTTTAAATAGGTTTCCCTACCACCATTCTGAAATACAGCTTTCATGGGATGATTGTAACATTTGTTTCTTCTGAATGTTTTAATCTGTTGTTTCTCATACCTCTGTGCTTGCCATACTGCATGCATTTTTAAAGTAGTACCTTACCTTCATTGTTTAAATGTTTTAAAATATGTTTTGCACATACAATGTAAAACTTACTTTGAGCTGATGATTAAGTTGGACAGAATGCATGGGCAGAGCTGCCTGGGGAACATGGGTTTAGAGGGAATCTACCCCACTGTGTGAGAACACAAGTTCTCCCACCAAAGTGTAGAGGCCTGTGCAAGAGGCACAACTGCCGCAATCCAGACTCAAGTGGAGTTGTATGGTTCCTACCCTAATAGTCAGGTGAAGGGAATCTCCTGTCTTTCTATTATTCATCTGTTATGGTGGCTTTGAATAAAAGCAGTTCTTTAAGATGAACAAGGGTTATAATCTCAAAACCTTACATGAATGGAAGTGAGCAACAAATGGCTTGGCCTCAGAACCATTCACATATCTCATTTTTATAATTCTGCCAGAAAGGCAGAGAACTTAATGAGGGATATGTATGTGAGTTTTGATTATGGGAAGGGCTCTGTGTATGTTCTGGATGGAAATTTCTATCTGGTACAGCATACCACATATAAGAATATTTACTTTCTTTTGTTTAAAGAGGAAATTTCTAGACTTTTCCTTTGCAAAAATAGGCTTGATAGTTCATTGGCAATGACTAGTGAAATCTCACATGCCAAAGGAGCGTCTCAGCAGTATTTGCAGTGGGTGGGGCTTCAGTACCCAAGCTATCTTTTTGCAACTCCCTATGACTAGCAGAAGTAGAATAGATTATACCAAAAAAAGCCTCTTTCATTTTCAGGTCACAGAATTTAGGCTACCTTGGTGCAGAATTTTTTGTTTTTGTTTATGTTTTTAAAAAGCTTGAGAGTACACACAGCCCTACTTATAATTCCTTACCTAGTAGCATTACTTTGGACCTTAGGAAGAGGTCCTTCAAGCCCTGCTATCTGAGATAATGTGGGACCTCTTCTATGTCCCCTGTTCATATGCCCGTGTTTGAAATGTTTTGATGTTTGTTCACATGTGCTTTTAAAATGGTGTTTAAAAGAAGTAACCATTCCACAGCCTGTCCTCACATTCTCCCACCAGAGAAGAGACCCCCTGAACCTCCCGGACCACCACCACCGCTGCCGCCACCACCACCCAATATGGCTGAGGAGAACATCTCCAACACAGCTCAGGAGTTGAACCCAGCTGTGACAGCCGCCCTCCTCCACCTTTTATCCCAGCAAGAGGCAGGGTCACTGAGCCACCCAAAGCATGAACCCCAAGTTGTGAGGCCCTCCTTGGATTACACCAGGTCACAAACCTCATCCAGGACTTATGGCACCGAGGGACCTGAAGGCTGCAGCTTTGATGTTGATGAACGGAATTCAAGCCAGACTTTAACGGAGACATCGCCCCAGGCCTTGGGGAAAAGTAGGACCTTTCTGGGCTCAACAAGTCACCTCGGGGAGTCAAGCAACTTCCAGGGCGCAGGATCAGTTCAATTCCCAGGGGACCAGGACCTCCGTTTCACCCGAGGCCCCTTGGGGATGCATTCTGCTGTTGAGCAATCCTTCATCAAAACCGAGGGAAGCAACAACACACTGGTACACTCAGAGGCCAAAATTCACAACTACAGTGAGGTGGGAGTGGCAAATGCTAGTTCTAGTGACACAGGAACAAGCCACACGTGGGGAAACACGGGCCAATCCACTGCTTATGGAAAAGCCTTTCGTGGGCAGAGTAGAGTACCTCCAAGAGGAGGAAGAGGAAGAGGGGTACCCTACTAAAATGACTGGAGAGAGGGGAATTGGTACTTTGTGGTGGTTTTTGCCTTCCTGTTTCCTTCTTGACCTTAGAGCAGCCAGTTTTCAGGGCAAACCACTGCCCATGTCCAACCATCACAAAAATGGTTTATTGTTGCTGTTTTCCCTCTTTCTGCTCACCAGACTGCTGCTGTCTCCCTCCCCCCGCAGTGGCTCTAGAATGAAGACCCTTAGCCTTCTCTTGACAGCTATCCATACCCAAAGATATGCTGATTTGGGTTTGATATGGCAAGTTTTCCTACACAGACATGGAGGGGAGGGGGAGAAGGAAAGAATCTTTAAACATAATAAATTGGAAATATAAATTGAATGTGTTTGCAAGCCTTGAGCCATTATTTCTGAGAGTGAGCCCACGGAAGATCTGGAAGAAGTGAATCAGTGCCCTGGTCTGTACATGCAGGAAAATGAGGAGGTATAATACTTCAGAGGGCAAATGAGGAGATCACTCATTTGGAATGTGTGCGCACACATATCCTGCAAGTAGAAAATACAGTATGTCCGGAGAGAGATTCAAGGCCAACACTCTCCCCAGTGTGCTAGTTTTCTCCTTGGAGGCAAGCTTTTACCCCTCTTTATAAAGAGGTAGCAATCAAAATGGGCAGCTGAGTTACCTGCAGTCTGGAGCAGAGAAGCTACTCTACCATCTCATTCTGCTGCATGTGTAGATCCAACCTCAGTATTGCGAAAGCATTAATGTTTTGTTTTTCTTTGCCTCCTTGAATTTCAAGATTTGTCAGATGGTGCCTACATGCCTTTTATACTGAATTAAGAGAACTTGGTTTGTGTTAAATAAGATTTGGAGTATTTTCCCCCTTCCCCTCCATAGCCACTATTTTCTTCACATGGAAAGATAGGATACTACATTCTTCCATGGGCCAACTGTCCTGTTTTACTGTGAAAGGCCATGCGCTGTCATACTCACCTTCCAAAAACCTTAGATGAACTGAGTTTCTGTAGTGTCCATCAGTCTGTTGGCTTTTGGATGGGTTTAGTTTTTTTTATTTTCTCTCTCAAGAATGGCGAGTGTCTCTTTTTTGTTGAAGTTCTTGAGGCCAAAGTTAATGGCGAAAATAAAATAAAAACCAAAAACTTTGTAATCCTTAAATTCTTGGGGGTAGAGGGTGTTTATGATTGACGCTGGGGAAACCCAAATAAGTTAGATTGTTTAACATTTCCAAAGGTTAACAAGTGATACTGTCTGTTGTGTGATTTCACTACTTTCAGTGTTAAAGATACTTTTTCAGCATTCCTTGCTGATTCTGCAATGAGGACCTTTTCACTTATTTTTGAATTGTATTAGCAGCTCACCCACACTGATTAATTTATATAATTTTATTTTTGTAAAAAGTAGATTTTTTACTAAGAGTAAGCCTGCTGGAGGCTGTAATTTGAACAGAGATGACAGAATACAGAAACTCAGAAGGGTGACTATAATTTCTCAGTAAAACATCATTACCACTTGCTTCTTTTAAAGTTGCTGTGTTTAAAGGGAGTAACATATCAGAAATTAGGGGGCAGAGGAAGTTCTAGTTCTGGCTTGAGGTCATTAAACATTTCTTGTTATTCTTACTGCTTTCATATTTATACAGAAGAAAAGCAACCTAGCTGGCAGCACGCTGTTGCTGAAGGCAGAAAATGGGCTATGCCTTAAAAGTTCAAGGCTTAAACACATTAGCAGGAAGCAGTTGAAGGAGGAGTTGTGTGGAGGTGGGGGTACTATTAGATATAACATGTACCACCTTGTATTTTTAAAAGGTATACACAACTTCTATTAAAAAAACAAGCCACTTCTATTCTGCAAAGTGTAGCAAGTTTGCAAAATTCCAAGTGTAAATTTTGTGTGTTGTTTTCTAAATTGATTCATCAGTTCATGCATAATATGCAAAAAATACTGTACATGCAGAGTATGGTAAATAAAAGGAGAGATTTTTCTAGGCATTTACTTAAACATTTCTTCTCCTCCCCCTGCCCCTTCTTCATTCTGCAGTCTTCTCAGCATCTTGGTTCTTGGCATTTTTAAGCTATCATGGTGTTGTGCTTGAACATACTTACTTTCCTCCACCCTCTCCATCTCCCTTTCTCTAAAGAAACAGAATTATTCTCATTCAGCCATGTGGCCATTAATTTTCTCTCTGCTGCTGTCATAAACCTGCTCACCTGAAGAAATCTGACCACCCCTCTTTATGCAGGGTCTTGCAGATTCTGACTAAAATCTCCTCCTCTTCCACAGTTTTTTCTACTGTCACTAGTCCCTATAGAATATTTTTCCTCCAAGGGAGGGCTTTCTTTTGGGGAACTTGCTTTAGGAGGATGCACTGAAGCATGAAGGTCTATTTCCTTCATCTCTGTTGTGGCATCTTTCCAACTTTTTCCCACCTATATGCACTCTTGTGCAAACCAGGTTTATGGAAAATATATTACACTTACTAGAATTTAACCAAAAAAAGATAACCTCTTGAAAAAAAGGAATCAAGGGTAGAGGGAGACTGTTCCTAACCCTTACCTTGGCTTCAGCATTCCCTGTAGCTGCATTACCAGTTTTCATACATGGTTGCTTTTTATTTTTTTTATTTTTAAGAACCATGTTGGTAGTTCTGAGTGGTGCTGCTCAATATTAAGCAACTAAAAATATTGAACAACTTCACCTTTCACACATTACTCCAGAGCCACAATTTCTGCATCTCATCTGCTCTTTTACTAGAAGATACTAGTTCACTTTCAACTGCTATACAACCTTTTAAGGTACTGCTGTGCCCATGGTTAGAGTCTTGATAGTCAAATGAGGCAAGAAGGGTCCTGAAAGGAACCAAAGGAGTGTAGAAGAGATGACAACCGTGTTTTTATCCAATCAACTACTGGAGGGAGTTAGAAACTTTACAATCCACATGTTATTGGACTGCCAGTTCCCATCAACCCCATATAGCATGGCCAATTATCAGGTTTTAGAAGTTGTAGTCCAGTAACATCTGGAGGTCTGCCATTTCCCTAGTCTGGGTCTAACCAGATGAAAAAATGAATACATAAATTATCTTGTGCCAAAGAAAGACAAATGGCAGATAGGTTGAGTAGCACAATTTTTTTGTTTCAGATCTTCAGAAGCATGAAGTGATGACTTGCATGTATAAAATATTATTTTAAGCAGCACAAATAAGACTTGAATTATTTGAATATTTTGCATGATTCTTTTCTTGGACTCAATCAGTGGACTCACAAACAAAAAGATTACTATGACAGACAACACAGGTAGATGTCATACATCAGGGATGAATCCTCATAGAATTTGTTTTTCCCAGTTTCTACTACCAGTTACCTGCTGATTTGGCAATGACGAACTGCAGGGTAAATTGCTACAAGTCTTTGCTTTCAGAGTCCTTCATTAAATGCTGGAAAATTCTGCTAATATACAGATACTAACCTTCAGATTATTTTAAAAGGATCATTTCTAGCCTCCATGAGTTAGAAAAATAAATCTGAAGCCTTCAGGCATTGTCTGAAGCAAAACATGGTACAGAAATGAAGGGGATGTTTGCTCTCCTATCCCAGAAGCTTTCAAGTTGCATTTTGGGAAGTGCCAAAGAAGCTTATTGGAGTTTTCTGAATGAGTTCAGTAACAGCAAATGAGTGTTCTCTTACTTGCCCATCACTTTCAGTCTTTGTGATTCAACACACAGTTTAAGTAGAATATTGGATTTGATCATGCAAAATAAGGGCAAAGCCCAACACACCTGGACAATACCCCACATTATTTTAAGTGTGCCTTGTAACATGCCTCAGACTTACCTGGAATATGCAGCAGGTTATTTATTATTTGTACTCTTGTGTTGCAAAGTATGCAATGGAAAAAAATCTCTGAAGATACAAACTCTGAAAGCCCTATGTCTCTCCCTTGTGAGATCCTGTTTTTATTGCTCTAATTATGTGCCTCTTTAACCCATAACTTACCTACACCATTTGTTCTACCATTACATTACTAGAAACACATTCAAAATTCTACAAAAGTATGGCTAGTAAAGCCAAGAGTAAAACATACAAACTGAGGCAGGGAGCAAGATGCAAAGGCTCTGATCTAGTTGAAATAATATGAGGAGTAGCCAGACAGTGCTGTAGCAGGAGTGTGTGAACTTGCTGTTAATATATTGTCCAGCATCCTGGTCACTCTTGAGCAGGACTGCATGTGTACTAAAATAGGAATTCTGCACCAAAGCAAGGTAAATTCAGATTGTTACAAATTAAACAGCTTGAACATATTTTGGCATAATTTATCCTGCAATAAATGTTTACAGTTGTACAGTTCTGATGCTAGTCATGGGGAAGGACAAGGCGATATGTAGGGCACTTGGTTCCTGTCAGCAACCATTAGAACATTTGTTCAGCAGCTTTTTGGGCTTCTGAAATGTTGCCAAGTATTGCCCTTTTCACACTTTAGTATAATTTTAAAAATTACAAAAGGAAGGTCAGGCAATTTTTTAAAAAATCCACAATGCCAGACAAGTAGTATATGCATTATTGTCTGAATTCCTATGTTCAGGAAGAATGCTGCATTTAAAGAAAGGCTGGTTGATTGTTTGCTGTATCTTAAATATGTATGTACTGTTAGCTCTGCCAGTGTCCAAGGCTTACAGGGTAATCCTATGCCTGTCTACCCAGAAGCCCCAAATGAGTTTAATAGAATTACAGCCTTGTAGTGCAATCCTATACATGTCTACTCAGAAGTAAGCCCCACTGAGTAAAATAGAGCTTACTTCCAGGTAAGTGAGTATAGGATTACAGCCTTAGTCAACTGTTTTTTTATTGCAGGAGGTTAGTGAGATTGTGATTAATACTTTAGCCACAGTTAATATCATGCAAACTAGCTCATGATATTCATTTCAGATTGTTCCATTTGAGTATCCAAGAATATTGAACAAATTAAAAATAATATAACCAATTGCATATATGATATTTCCCTAGAAGGTCTAGAAAATGTTATTTCATAAATGAAACCTGAGTTTCTCATGAAGCTGAATTCTGTGTCCAGGACCACATTTTGTGCTCTTGTGGAAGTTGTTCTTTGTTGGCTGGTGCCGCAGTTGTGGTGCAGCATTCTGTTGCCTCTATATTCAGGCATACTTCCTTAATGCAAATGAAGTACAAAGTGTGCTGTGTGTGCAAACACATACACTCACACATGCAAACACACACACCATAGCACATATGCTGTTTATATGTGAATGACCTCTGTATCGAAATGTTACATTTCTCCTTTTTTAAAACACAAGCTTATTCTGATTTTTAAAATTATTTTGTTTCATAAAAGCAAGCAGCATTTTAAGAAACAAAATAATCTTGTAAAATGTTGTAAACAATTAGCATATGTTTCATTCACTGAAGTTTTGGTACATAATCTTTTTTCTTGATGCAGAATTGAGAATGTGGCAGTAATGCATTACTTTTCCAAAGGTGTTCATGGCTCAATGTATCTTGGATATATAGATTTTAATTGTGTCATACTGCTCCTATAGGGAACCTCAGCTAAAAAACATGTTTGTAAAAACTGGCACTAAACAACAAAAAGTTCACATGTATTCCAAGTGGGTCTGTTTCTGATTCTTCAAAACAAAATTCAAATAGCTGAGAATTTTCTTCTTCCTTCATTTGGAGCATTTCATCCCTGCAAGAAGATTGTTCCTACATGATGCTGCTTCTCTGACTTTTCTGCATGGTTACTTGTGTGTGTGTAAAATATGTCTGTTCTCCTCCCACAGAACTGGAATGGTCTGCACCTCCATGATTGTAGACACTGATGGAAGTAGGAGCTGCTTTTGGGGCTAAATGGATATCTCTTGTATTCTGCACTATGCTACAGTGACATCTGGGGACACAATACATGCATTACACATTTTTAGAGCACCAGCCAAAGGGCAATGGGGAAAGCCATATGTTTTCATCCAGAGTGGAAGCCTTTTTAAAAACAACCTTCCCATTCAGCTCCCACACTCAGGTAACTAGCCACAAATGGATGGAAAGATATCTATGTCTCATTTTACATTTTTGTTAATAGTTTCCATAATGATAGTATTATTTTGAATACTCCCCAACTCTGTGTCTAGACTAGAATTTTAAAAGCACAGCATCCCCAACACCTGCCATCTCGCCTCTGAAAAGTGCATAAATCTTTCACCCACAGTAAGCTGTCCCACAAACCACACCTGATTTGTTCAATGGCAATGTCTTCCTTAGAGAACCTAAAGGAAAGACAAAAGATACACAACAGAGTACAAATTTGCAGGCTGGGCCTAAAGCATATTCTTTTTTTGCTCCATTTATAATTGCTATCTTTCTGATACAATTCTATTAACAATCCTATCCTCTGCCACTGTGCCTAAGACAGACCATGCAAAATAATTTGGCACTCACAGTAAAGTATGCATGTTAAACAGGTCTGCCATAACTTTTCTGGCCACTAAACTGGTTCGTACATGCATGCATAAGTTAGTGATGGCTGAATGTGAGTGAGCACTGACTGCATTGGCCAATATGAAAATTCTATCTGTGCTGTTTAGACTTGTTATTCATACATGAAAATCAATGGTCCAGCAGTCACCACATGATGGATTTCCCTGTGTGGATAAACTTAAGCTAAGTCAGTTTTCTTATTGTGAGTATTGAATTTTCAGGGATTTTGTTCATCCTCTGAAAATAGACTTCCATCACTGATATTTGAGGAGACGCATGTAATAATGATTTGAAAGTCTGACAACTTTCCAAGGTTCTAGAGAGGTTACAACTGATGCAATAAAAAGTGGTGTTAATTATTTTTATCTCTCTTTTTAATGTCTACTTTGCCATCATGGTTCCATAAAGCCCTCAGTATTTACCTAAGTGCTCAAAACAGTCAAGTGCTCTCAGTAAGCCTTATAAACCCCTCTGTAACTAAGGTAAGCCAGTGTTGTTATCCATGCACAGGTTTACCAGAAGATACGTTCGTGATCCGGAGACCTTAGAGCTAGAGGGTGGAAGTTAAGGGTGGTTTGGGTGCACTCAGTGGGCATGGGATGAAGCTAATGGCAAGTGCTTTTGAGACATACTGGAAAAAAATAGTCTGGTCCTTAGTTTTGGCAGCTTATGCTGTGATTTTATTTTTTTCCTTTGGAAACTTAGAAAAGAATGCTGAAATCCTAAAGCCACACCTCATGACCTGGCAATTCTATACCTCTGAGACAAATTTGGGATTTGAGGCTAGAAGTGTGATAAATGCCAGCAAGTTAGCTTTTGTTAAAATCAGAGCTGGAATCTGAACCAAGCTGATTGAATTGGTGGTGGGAATGGGGTGTGATTCAAACTCGTAGTCCATGTTTTGAAATGCTGCAGTACGTAAGCCTTCTACATATAGATTTTAAATGTGTGCTTTTTCTAATTGCAGATCAGCCCCTCTGATGTAGGCTCAGAGATACCTGATCTCAACATGTGACTCAGTGAGGATGCTATGTTCTACTCTTCAGCCAAAGAAAAACCAGGCTTGTAAGTAATTGACTTGGTATGTTGTACTGCAACATCTACAAGAAAGAGTGAGACGGGAAGGCCTCACATTTTATTGTTAATAGTGGCTATTGCCAGAAAATGAGGTTCGATTTTCATGTATATTGTCTACTCTTTCTGGCTTATTATTATTATTATGGTTGCTTACTGAAAGCTCATCTATCTGAGTCACTGTCCAAGCTGGGGAAAAACCTCCACTTGTCCCGCCTAGCTCAGTTTAACAGATCCACTGCCAACCTCCCCCACAAAAACCAAAGCCAGGGACTGCAGTACAAATAGCTTGAAATCACTCAAGCAGGTGAGGCAAGTCACACAAGGCATTTCCAATAAGATTAAACTGGTAAACAAGCCTCAGTTAGTGAAGGTAATAGAGCTGGTAATACACCCAGACTGCAAATCTCTGTTAGGATGAGCGCCACCTCCCTTAGCCCTCATCATGTCCTTCTTGGCATCAGGATGCAGTTTCATTTTATTGGCTCTTACCCAGTCCACTACAAATCCCAAGAATCTGGCAGAAGAAGGGGCTAAGCAGGACTATCAGTAAGCAGTAAGAGCCTGGACTTTCCTGCTGCTTCCAGAATCAGTAGCTTACTATGCAACTGGAATGTGTACCCCAGAACCTTTCTCTGACATTGCTATAGCTTTTGAGT